GTGAGTGGGCTCTGGGGGTGCCTGTGGCCCCCAAACTGTATATCAAGCTCTTCTCTCGGGAGGAGAGGCCTGGACCAGGCTTCCCGGAGGGTCACAGCATGGGACTGCTGGTCCACCAGGCGGGGTCCACGTTAGTGGCTTTGACCCAGCCGGATGGTGATTCTGCATACACGGGATCAGCTCATCGAAACCTCGGACTCGGCCTTGTAGACTTTTTTCATTGCCCCAGCAGGTGGTTCAGCCTGTTTTATGCAAGTCTTGAGGGAGGACGGGTGGGAAGTAAAGGGTGAACCGGGTCCCCCCCAGCCTGGGGACTGCAGCTCCCCAAGGCCCAAAGCCTCCCTGTGGTCTGGGCCTCATGTCAGAAATGATGACGCCAAGGCCCCGTGTTCCCATTTGCAGCCGCGCCTGCCAAGAGGGCTGGAGCCCCAGAAGGTTCCTGGTGACACGTGTCGCCGGGCAGAGTGCGTGACGGAAGAGTCACATCTTTGTTATTTTTTTGAGATAAAGTTCACATATAACAAACTTCACCACCTTAAAGTGGACAGCAATGGTTTTTAGTAGACAGTGACACAGCTGTGCCCCTGTCACCACCGTCTAGTTCCAGAACATTCCATCCCCCAAAGCAGCCCCCCAGCCCTTGGCCCCCACGAGCGCACGCTGTCTGTGCGTCCGCCTGCTGTGGACATCCCACAGGAGTGGGGCCACACCGTGTCCAGCGTCTCACTGAGTGCCATGTGTTCAGGGCCCGTCTGTGCGCAGTGGCTCCGCCCCCCTCCGTGGTTGCGTGGGGCTGCGGGTGTGGATGTACCTGGTGCTTTTTTGAATGTAGGAAATCAGAGCTGGACGTAGCAGTTAAAGGCTCTCACCCCTTCCTCTCCCCCCAAGAGTCCCTGGCAACAGGTCCTTCTGTTTCTTTCAGAAATGCTCTCGTGTGGACATGTGACAGCTGCTCCGTCAGCCTTTGCTGCGTAACAAAGCGCCCCAGGGCTCAGTGGCTTCGGACAGCTGTTTGACTGTGGCTTTGTACCTGGGCCGGCGAGGGTCGCCCGGGCACCTTGCCCGTGCTGTCTGTCAGCTGTGGTCAGCAGGGGGCATGGAGTCCGGGCTGGCCTCTGCGCCCACAGGCCCGGTGCCTCAGCCACCCCTCCCCGCACAGCCCCTGCCCCAGGGACCCTGCCATGGAACTCAGGCCTCAGGGCTCCTGAGGGTGGGCTTCCAAGCTGCCAGCCACTCTGTGCCTCCCCCCACATCCTGCTGCTCAGAGCTGGTCACTTGCCCACAGAGGTGCCCCTGGGCCCTTCAGGTCAGCCAGGGAGGATCTCAGGCATGGCTTGTGTGCGTCCCCTCTGCCCTGGTCCTGACGGCCGGGCCTGGGGGTCCCCAGTCCAACTGTCCAGAGTGTGCAGCCTCCCCTCAGAGCCCCCGCTCCAGCGGTCAGAGGCCTGCATAGCAGGGCCCAAGCCCAGCCAGGTGGTTCCGGCCAGTTGGGAGCGAGCTGGCGCTGCTCCCGGCTCCCTGTCTGCCTCCTCCCGTGTCATCTTGTTGCTCCGAGTCCCCGAGGGCCGGCCCCATCCCCGGCACCAGGCGGCCCCCCCCCCCGGGCAGAGGCCCCACCGCGGGGGCTTGGCCCTGCTGCATCCTGACAGCCCCCCGTGGCCCTGCTCCGGATCCCACAGCATCTGCCCGTGGGTGCGGCCCACCTGGTCTCCCTGCAGCAGGGAGGGGCAGCGGGAAATCCCAGAAGGCAGGGAGACGGTGAGCGACCCGGGAGGGGCTGCCCGGGCAAGTGGGGGTGGCAGCCTCTCAGAGGGGGTGACATTTGAGCCAGGTTTTGGGTGAAGCAAGAGAGCAAACCCTGTAAGAGGCTTGGGCGAGGAGGCTCAGCGGGCACAGCCCTGCAGAGGCCCTGGGGTGGGACCGGGCCTGGCGTCTGGTAGGGGTAGGGTGAGAGAGGAGCAGGGGTGGTGGAGATAAGGGGGACAGTGAGGCTGTCTGTGTGGGGTCTGTGGGGCAGATCTGCCCTTGTCCAGGTCCTCAGCCCGGCCCTCGCTGGGCTGCAGGCTCCCACCCGCCGTCACCTGGCCGCGTGGGCACAGGGCCCTCCCACGGGCACGTCCTCCCCCCTCCAGCAGGGCTGGGGGTCTGCACCCTGAGCTGCATGCGGCAACCCCCTTCCTCAGGCCGCTGCTCTGGGCGGCCCCCAGGCCCCACAGGGTCACGGGCGATGAGGTCCCGCTCAGCGCAGCCGGGTGCACCCCCAGCCCCGGGGTCTTGGCGTGCAGTGGTGCTCACTACAGTCGGGGGGGGGGGTGCGGTGGGTGCCGTCTCCCCACAGGTGGGCACAGGGCACCAATGCCCCTGCCCCTCGGTTCTGCCTCCCTGGGTGCTGGACACGTGCCCCCCTTCAGCCTCCTTGTCTTTTCTGCTCCCTCCCTGCATTTCTGTTTCTATTTTTTTCCCCATCAGTCCACATCCCTGCTTCCCATTTTCACTTTTTGGGGCCTGGGCCTGCGTTCTCTGCTGAAAGTGGGGTGGTGCCCTTGCAGGGGGTGGTGCTGTTTGGGCGTGCCCAGTTCAGCCTTGTTTCTGGAGCCTCTGCAGTGGTCCAGGCTTTGTGCTAGGCCCCAAGGGTGCGGCAGCCTCCAGAGCAGGGCCTGCACAAAGGCCCTGGGGCAGCACCGGGCCTGGCCCGTGGGAGGAGCGGCGAGGAGGCCGCATGGCTGCAGAGAGCGAGCCAGGGGAGAGGGAGGGGATGTGTGCAGGGAGGGGCCGGGGCTGGGGTACAGGGCCTCAGGGACCGCCGGGAGGACTTGGGCTCCACCCCGAGGTGGGAGCCTGGACAGCTGTGGCCCCCAACCTGACTCGGGTGCCTGCTGGCGCCCTCTGGTGGTCGCCGTGGGGAGGGCACGCTGTGGGCAGGGTCTGCGCTGGGCTGGTGCAGGCGGGTGATGGGTACTGAGGTGCGTGAACTCCAGGTAGGTTGATGGAGGAGGCAGGCGGTTTTGCTGAAGCACAGATGTTAGGGCCCCTTCCTAACATAGGGAGGTCCTGGGGGCCCACAGACCTTTGGGAACTTGCGCTGCCTCAGTTTCCACATCAAGTAGACCCTGCTCCTGTGGGAAGACAGACATTGATGTCGGCAGGGGGGGGCGGTCTGCAGGAAGACGGCTGTGGGGGCATGCCCAGGTGGGGGCTGCGTGTGGGGCAGAAAGAGCTGGGCCAGAAGGAGGCCCTGGGCTGCGCCCACCCTGCACACTGAGGAATTAGGGCTCCGAATGGAGCCCCGAGTGTGAGACGGCCATTGTGTCCCTAGGGGAGCTGGGGTGGCTGAGGTCACTGGACACAAGGGGTCAGAGCAGCGAGCCGAGGGCTGGTGGTGGGCCGCGGAGGGGAGCCTGGCTCCGGAGCCCCCCGCCTGGCAGCTCGGTGGGGTCTGAGGACTCCTGCCCTGGGAGGCAGAGGTCACACAGTGGTGGGAGGGGGGTGGTCAGCGCCTGCCCCTCGTGGCTGGGCTGCAGGAGAGGCTGGGGGACGGGTCTCACCCGAATAGCCTGGCCTGGGCCCTGGCGGGAGCTTTCACGTGCCCCTGCTCACCCTGCGCAGACCCGGCGGTGCCCGGGCGGTGGCCTCCGCCTCCGGAAGAGGGCTGCCCGGCCTGTCCTCCCCCCTTCGCGGCCCCGCTCCCCATCCCCCAGGCTATTTTTAAAAACGATTTCCTTGAAAACAGGGTGGCTCACTCTGAAGGTAATTGGTCAGGCCTGGCCTGGGAGGAGTTGCCTTCCGGGCTGGCTGGACGGCCTGTGGAGGGGCAGAGCGGGGAGGTGACCAGGGAGGCCGCTGGGGACCCTGGGCCGAGACCCGGAACTGGGGACTCACTGCGGACTCGCCTCGCGGCCCCAGGCCCTGCGCAGCCCCCAGGCCGTCCTGTTTGCTCGCCGCGCTCACGCACCCGGGTCCCCCCGCGGCGGCCACCAGAGGGCGCCCGCGAGCGCCTGCGGCAGGTCCCCCCCTCTGCCCACGCCCTCCAGGCCGCCACCGGGTCAGAGCCCAGGTCCGCGGACCGGGAGCCCTTGAGGGCTGCGGCCAGGTCCGCCCCGGTCACCACCTGCCTCCCTGCGGCCTGGCGCGCGGTGGACACCAGGGTGGGAGTTTCCTACTGCAGCTGTAACGGGGGCGCACGACCTGGCCTAAGACCACACCCAGTTCCTGCCTCACGTTCCGGGGTCAGAGGTCCTGGGTCCGGGCGGGCAGGGCCCCGGGAGAACCGTGTCCTCTTCCAGCTTCTAGAGGCGCCGCGGCCTCGGCTCAGGCCCTTCCTCTGTGGCCCGCAGGGCTGTGCCTTCCCGTCTCTCGGACCCTGACCTCCTGCCCCCCTCACAGGGACCCTGGGTCACCCCATCTCAACATGGTGACTCCCACGGGCAGGGCCCTTCACCTTTGGGGTCACACCAACCTCCACGTCATCGAGCTAAGGCTCAGCCAGGGCCAGTGGTCAGCCCGAGGCCTCCCCACAGGAGCCCTGCAGGCACAGTCCAGAGTAGTGGGGGGCTCCTCGGGGGTGTGGGCAGGAGCCAGGGAGCTGTCCTAGGCTGGCAGGCAGCACCGCTTCAGCCCGGCCCTGGCCACACCTGCTGACCGCGGTCACCTGGGCCCTCCGGGGGGCGCGCTGTCTGCCCTCCCTGCCCACCCGGTCCCCCGACTCCTTGGGGGGAAGCCCTGCCCCTGGTGGCTGGGAGGTTCCGTGCTCTGTCACTCAGAGGCACCAAGGGCCCGGTCTCCAGGGCAAACGGGGGTCAGTGTCTGGTCCCGCTGCCGCATCAGCCTGCCCCTTCTCTGAGCCTGTTTCCCCCACTGGGCCCCCACGTGCTCTGCGGGGACACCGGGAGCCGCGGGGAGGGTGCCGGGGGCCACGTTCTTGGAGCCCCAGCTTGGGTCCCTGCGGCTGGGGTGGGGCTGGCTGGGGCTCCAGTCTGAAGTGTGTCTCTTCTCTCCCTCAGGTCTGGCCCCGAAGAAGACGGCCCCTACAGAGGTGAGAGTCCTGTGGGCCCCGCCTGCCCCTCCCGCCCAGCTCAGGGGCGTCAGGACGGTGCCCGGCCTTCCGTGCAGTGCGCTGCCTGCTGTGCCCTGCCCGCATCCTTCGGGGAGGGCAGAGGCTGAAGACCCAGGTCTGGGGACCAGGGTGGCCTCCTGGGTGTCCCATGTCCCCTTGGGTCCTGGCCTCCTCTCCCAGGAAGCCCCCAGCCATGCTGGTTCCTTCTGAGGCTTCGTGGGGACCCAGTGGGGTCCTGGCCACAGGGTGGTGGGCAGGACGAGGGTGGCAGGCATGCCAGGAGGGCTGCAGAGCAGGCCGCCGATTCCCGAGGACAGCCCGCTAGGCGGCCGGCGCGCAGAGCTCAGGCGTCCTGGGGCTGCCTGTAGCTGTGAGGGGGCATCACAGCCGGGCTGGCCACCAGAGGCCCACGTGGCTCTTCGGACGGTGGCAGGGGCACACTGAGGGGCACGGTGGGTGCTTCTTAAATGTCAGTGACAGGCACAGCCACCAGAGGGATGCCAGCCAGGCCCTGCCCATGGGCCAGTGCTGCCACATGCGTGTTCTGGGGTGGCCCCTGACATGCCTGCCTCCGCCATCCACATAGAGCTTGCGGGAGCTGGGCCTGTGCCCACCAGCAGGGCCTCTCCTCCCAGGAGTCACACTGGAGAGCCCTGGCATCGAGCAGGGGGCCAGGGAGGCAGCTCGCTGGCCATGGGGCCAGGACACCCCACCCCCGGAGAACAACCGGGTGCTGGCAGAGCCCAGGGACACCCCGACGTCAGGGCGTGCTCCCGTGCATGCAGGTGGCTGCGGCTGCTGACCTGCCTCGCTCGAGGGCTGGAAGTCTGGTCTGGGCGTGGGCCCTTCTGGACGTGCAGGGCCATGCTGTGCCCTGGAGCCCACCAGTCCCTGCCCCCACTCCGCACGCAGCCCAGCCCTGGCCCAGCTGGGCACGGTGACTAAGCCCTTTTCTCGCCAGGATCTCCTGAGCTTCCCGGCCCTGTGGTGCCCCCCGGCCAGCTAATGCCCCTGCCTCCTCTTCCGCAGGCCCTGTCGGTGACTGGACAGCCGGGCCCTGGCCACGGGAAGAAGCTGGGTCATCGGGGTGTGGACGCGTCTGGCGAAACCACATACAAAAAGGTTTCTCCTCTGCCCCCAGTGCCCCTGCGTGCACAGGGCCCTGAGGGGTGGGGGGCAGTGCCGCCTCTGCGTGCAGGACCCCCAGTCCTGGCAAAGTCCCTGTTGTCCTGGTGGCGGCCAGGCCTCGTGCCCCCCGGCCGCCTGCCTCCTTGGGTGAACCCTCAGCTGCCAGGGCTCCCAATGCTTGGGTGAGCCAGCTGCGTGCTGGCTCGTCTGGAGAGAGGAGGTGCAGGTCCCCCTCTAGGGAGGGGGCACTGGTGGGAGACCCCAAGGCCAGGCCAGGGGTGCAGACGGAGCCAGTGCACAGCATGTAGGCTTTGTGGAGAGAGCACAGGCCCCCTGCGAGTCATGCCTGTGAAGTGTAGTTGGATGGTTGCATGGTGGCATGCAGCTGTCACCACTGCTGGTTTTAGAACATCCCGTCGCCCTGAGAGGAAGTCCGTCCCCACCCTCCCCAGCCCCTGGCACCCAGGAACCCATGTTGTGTGTGGCTTCGCCTACATGGTGTGTCACAAAAATAGGGTCACGCCATGTGGCCTCGTGTGGCGTCTCACAGAGCCTGTCCATGTGTGTCGCGTGTTGGGCTCCGCCCCTGTTGGTGGCTGAGCGATGCTCCAACCTGTGGATGGGCGTTGGGGTGGCTTTCTGCTTGTTGGTTATGAATCACTGCCATGTGCGACCCCATTCGAGTGTCTCTGCAGACACGTGCTTGCATTTCTCTCAGGCCTGTTAGGAGGGGTTTGCTGGGTCAGATGGAAACCGCTTAACCCTCTGAGAAGCCGCCAGGCTGCTGTCCACAGCGGCCACACTGCCTGCCCTTCCCGCCAGCCACGCGCAGGGACCCACTTTCCTCCTGCCCTCGACAGCCTTGTTCCTGCTGACGATACCAGCATGGGCGGGTGGGAAGTGGCGTCCCCTGGGGCTGCGATCGGCATCCCTGGTAGTTAGTTGATGGTGCTGAGCGCCTTCCATGCCGGCTGCCCGTCAGTGTGGTTCCCTGGTGGGAACTCGTGTCCAGTGGTGGCATGTGGAGGGGAGTCCAGCTGGGAGGCCAGGCCTGCACACGGGACGGGGCTTGCTCTGGGGCAGAGGCTGACTGCCCGCCCTTCCTCACACCTGTGACGGGGTGCTGGGGACCAGGCCAGGGACCTGAGGGCAGAGCTGTCCTTCCCCAGCTCAGCCACGCATACTGGGGATGACGGCCAGTGGGGAAAGGATGGGCAGCTCACGTGAGCCAGGGCACAGCAGCCCTGGGGCGCCTGCACTGTCATCTCTGTCCCCGCAACGGCCGGGAAACCGGGGCATGGAAGGCCGTGTGGTTCACCCAGCAGGACAGCGAGAATCACCTAGGAAGTAGGGAGAAGGAACCGGCTTTACAGAAGTGAAACTAGGCGTCCCTGTAGATTCGTGCCCTGTCAGACGAGCCCTGACAGTGCCTGGGCCCTGCCAAGGCGGGGCGGCTTTGAGATGTTAGAGCCTTGATAGGAAACAGGCCTCAGGGTCATGCAAGGCGGTGTTGGCACGTCGACCAGGCCAGTTTCTCGTTGTGCGGTTGTGTGCTCAGGTCGGCTGAGGCCAGCGGGTCTGTGACGCATGCTCAGCAGGCGTCCTGGGGCCACACAGTGTCAGCGGGCGCCAGGGTCCTTCGGCCCTCCTGCCATGGCGGCCGACATGCAGGCCAGTCCACCACAGGGGTCTGGATGCAGCCGTTTCCCCACAGACCACATCCTCCACCCTGAAGGGGGCCATCCAGCTGGGCATCGGCTACACCGTGGGCAACCTGAGCTCCAAGCCCGAGCGCGATGTGCTCATGCAGGACTTCTACGTGGTGGAGAGCATCTTCTTCCCCAGGTAGGCCTGGGCCCCGCGCCGCAGGCGGACGCCGTTAGGGCCCTGCTGTGGCACAACAGCCTGGCCTGTTCCTGGGGCTTCCTTCTCTGCCGAAAACAGCGCGGGCCTCCCCTGGTATCCTGGCTCTGGGCACTGGCCCTGCATCAGCTGGGACGTCAGTTTGCTGCTGAATTGGTGGGACACAGTACAATAATGGTTTTTAGAAAACATGGAAAGGAAAGATAGTCATTTTTCTTTCTCGCACGCAGAACTGGTCGGCTCTCCCCGGCCGTCCGGTGACTGCACAGTGTTGGGGCCCCAGGCTCCTCTAGTTGACCGCCATCCTCGATAGGCAGCTGTTGTGCCCAGCGGTCTCAGATGGCTGCCCAAGCGCCTGCCATCAAGTCTGTTCCAGCAGCAGAAAGGAGAAGGGGGTGCTTGCTCCTTCCCATCAGGGCAGGACCAGGAAATTCTCCCCTCAGCTCTGCGGCCCTGTCCTGTCAGCTGGGGTTGGGGGGATGGCCCTCAGGTGCGCCCTGGGGGCGGGACGGTGCACAGCCGGCCCTCACAGCCCCCTCTCCCGCAGTGAAGGCAGCAACCTCACGCCCGCCCACCACTTCCAGGACTTCAGGTTCAAGACCTACGCGCCCGTCGCCTTCCGCTACTTCCGGGAGCTCTTCGGGATCCGCCCGGACGATTACCTGGTGAGCGTGTCCGTCTCCCTGCCCCGCTGCCCCGCGGGTCGCCGCACACTCGGCCTGCAATCGCTGCACACTCTGGCTTGAGTACAACGGCCGGGAAACCGGGGCATGGAAGGCCGTGTGGTTCACCCAGCAGGACAGCGAGAATCACCTAGGAAGTAGGGAGAAGGAACCGGCTTTACAGAAGTGAAACTAGGCGTCCCTGTAGATTCGTGCCCTGTCAGACGAGCCCTGACAGTGCCTGGGCCCTGCCAAGGCGGGGCGGCTTTGAGATGTTAGAGCCTTGATAGGAAACAGGCCTCAGGGTCATGCAAGGCGGTGTTGGCACGTCGACCAGGCCAGTTTCTCGTTGTGCGGTTGTGTGCTCAGGTCGGCTGAGGCCAGCGGGTCTGTGACGCATGCTCAGCAGGCGTCCTGGGGCCACACAGTGTCAGCGGGCGCCAGGGTCCTTCGGCCCTCCTGCCATGGCGGCCGACATGCAGGCCAGTCCACCACAGGGGTCTGGATGCAGCCGTTTCCCCACAGACCACATCCTCCACCCTGAAGGGGGCCATCCAGCTGGGCATCGGCTACACCGTGGGCAACCTGAGCTCCAAGCCCGAGCGCGATGTGCTCATGCAGGACTTCTACGTGGTGGAGAGCATCTTCTTCCCCAGGTAGGCCTGGGCCCCGCGCCGCAGGCGGACGCCGTTAGGGCCCTGCTGTGGCACAACAGCCTGGCCTGTTCCTGGGGCTTCCTTCTCTGCCGAAAACAGCGCGGGCCTCCCCTGGTATCCTGGCTCTGGGCACTGGCCCTGCATCAGCTGGGACGTCAGTTTGCTGCTGAATTGGTGGGACACAGTACAATAATGGTTTTTAGAAAACATGGAAAGGAAAGATAGTCATTTTTCTTTCTCGCACGCAGAACTGGTCGGCTCTCCCCGGCCGTCCGGTGACTGCACAGTGTTGGGGCCCCAGGCTCCTCTAGTTGACCGCCATCCTCGATAGGCAGCTGTTGTGCCCAGCGGTCTCAGATGGCTGCCCAAGCGCCTGCCATCAAGTCTGTTCCAGCAGCAGAAAGGAGAAGGGGGTGCTTGCTCCTTCCCATCAGGGCAGGACCAGGAAATTCTCCCCTCAGCTCTGCGGCCCTGTCCTGTCAGCTGGGGTTGGGGGGATGGCCCTCAGGTGCGCCCTGGGGGCGGGACGGTGCACAGCCGGCCCTCACAGCCCCCTCTCCCGCAGTGAAGGCAGCAACCTCACGCCCGCCCACCACTTCCAGGACTTCAGGTTCAAGACCTACGCGCCCGTCGCCTTCCGCTACTTCCGGGAGCTCTTCGGGATCCGCCCGGACGATTACCTGGTGAGCGTGTCCGTCTCCCTGCCCCGCTGCCCCGCGGGTCGCCGCACACTCGGCCTGCAATCGCTGCACACTCTGGCTTGAGTTGACAGCTGGCCGGGTTCTTTGCTCGGGAAGGTCATCCGGGGGTGTGCTGGGGACGGGGTCTCCCGTCAGGGTCCCAGAAGGGTCTGCTCCCAAGCTCGCGCCATCTGCAGGGGCTCAGCTCCCCACCACTGTCGGCCGGGGCACCATCCTTCCACGTTGGCCTGTGGGTCAGGGCATGCCATGGAGGGTGTCGCCTGGGCCGGACCCCTGAGGGCTGCAGGTCACAGGTCACGCCCACACTCGGAGGGACGCAGTGCCTAACACCTTAGTGCCTGTCCTGCCCAGCTCGGGTGGTTTCCGCCTCTCAAATTAGGAAAGTAAAAATGCCTGGCCCTTTGGCCGTGCCACCCAACATCAGGACTCCTGAGGGTCACAGAGCATGCGGGTGGGGGCCTCCCAGCAGCCTCCTCGGGGTTCATCAGGCCTGGGCCTGCCTCCTCAAGGTCTGGCCGGACTCTGCCAGGCCGCCCAGCCTCTACGGAGTAGGTCCGCCTGAGGGAAGCCCTCGCATGCAGTTGCGTGCCTTCTCCACATCCTACATGCTGGGGCCACTGTCTGCACCCTGGGGCTTGGCCTGGGGCTGTACCTGGTTTGCACGGTGCTGGCCTGTGTATCCAGAGCTCTCGGTTGTGTCCTCTGATTCGTTCTCAATCTGCGGAAAGCCTGTGCCCTCAGACAAGGCCATGTCCTCCCAGAAAGAACCAGTGTTGGCTCCGGCCAAGGGTGTGTGTGGCCCCCAGGTTCTGCAGCTCCACTGGAGTCCCAGGACGCACGGTGCCCCTTGCCCTGGCCCAGGCCGGCCGTCTGACCCCAGCACCCATCTGAAAGCCACCCCAGGAGGCTCTCCCTCCTGCCCCCATCACCGCCCCCTGAGCACACTGCCTCTGTCCCGCCAGCTCCGTGGGGCAGGGGGGTGTTGGGCGTGCAGCCCGGCAGCTCTGCTGCAGAAACATGTCCGGGACCCAGGTTCCAGGTCCCCACAGCTGGCAGCAGAAACCCGCGGCCCTGTCTGTAGGAGTGCGGACTCTGTTCCAACGTCCGCTAGTGGGGGGCGTCCGCGCAGACGGCTGGGGCTGCGTCTCGAGTTCGATCAGAGCAGGAGCAGGGCCCTGGGTGACCGGGTGTGTGTGCGGCCGGCCCACCTGTTACAGTCTGTCTCGGCCCAGGGAGTTAGGCCAGCCTCTTCCCCCCCCCGTGCCTCGGTTTCCCCTCTAGTACAGATCCTCACAGGGCTGACGCACAGTCCAAGCCCCGTACGCGGCTGGAGCTCAGCCGAGGCCTCGCATGTCCTCACTGAGACTGCCCGGGCCTGGGTGATGGGGTGTGGGTGAGGTGTTGGGCGGAGCTGAATCCAGTGCCCCCTGCCCGCTCTGCCTCCTCAGGGCCCTGCTGTCCTCCAGCCATGGCCCCGGCCCCCATCTTCACGGGGTCCAGCACCCAGCCCTGGGGCTTCCTGGGGCCTCACTCTCACCGCTCCTGACACCCCTGGGCTGGCCGGAGTTAAATACCATTTTAACCTCAGGACAGCAGGACATGAGGAGGGATGTAGGGGGCCATTTCCTCCCTAAACCAGGGTGCTCCCATGTGGACTGGCAGCTGCAGTCGGCCCTGGGCACCAGAGGAGCATGGGGTACATCTAGGGCTTGTCCGCCTGTGACCCCGGCCTGGCTCAGAGATCCATGCATGTTGCCTGTCTCCTCACCAACAGCCCAGAGCCCATGAGGGCAGGTCCTGCATCCCTGACCCGGCTGCTCCTCGGGGGCGTCTGCAAGCCACTGGGTACAGAGCTGAGCGCACCCCGGCTATGTCCCCGGCCCACTTCTTCCCTGATGCTCAGGTTCGCTGCGACTTGCCACTTCCCTGGTCAAGGCGACGATCGTGGCTGTGGGTTCTGGGGGCCCCTGATCTTCCGGGGTCACTTCCAGCCAGGGTGCACCAGCTGCAGGAGCTCAGGGCCTCCCTCCTGCCATGGCCTCCCGGCAGAGTCAGGCTGGGCCCCGGGTCTGCAGAGCTGTCTCAGCTCAGGGCTGCCGCGACATATGGTGATAGCAGGCGCCTGGTCTCCGGGCCAAGCCACATCACAGCTGCCTCCTCACCGGTGGGTCAGGGGCCTGGAGGTGGCACGGGGCTGCCATGTGCTGCTGTGGCCCAGGGGCATCTTGCAGCATCCTGAGCGGCACCCTCACCCCACCCCCAGCACATAAGGCAGCATTCGTGACACCTGCAGGAGGCAGGACGCCCCTGCCTCTTCCCGGTACCTCGTCCACCCACTGGCCAGTCCTACACTTAAACAGTCCATGTGACCTTTCGGCAAATACTTGCTGGCATTTACCATCAGGTGGGCTGGTCCCCTCGGCCCTATGGGGTACGTGCTGTGGCCTCATCCACGTGTGCCGGTGGTGCTCATTTAGGATTTGGGGGTACAAGTGACAGAAAACGCAATCCAAATAGTCTTAACCCCAAAAAAGTACTTCATTGGCTTGTTAGCTGAAGTCAGGGATAGGCTGCAGGCCATGCTTTTCATTCGTTTGCTTAACAAATGGACTGCCTGCTGTATGCCAGGTACTGTGATAGGTGCTGGGGACCCCCCAGTGAACAAGATTGCTTGAAAACTTCTTCCTCCATGGAGCTTACTGCCTAATGGTGGGGAGTGCACGTGGGAATGATGGACAGCAAGCACGTAAGTGAGGGAGATGTCAGTGGGGAGAGACGGAGGGCCAGTTGGACACTGCTGTGAGACACAGCGTTCCTGGCGCGTGGACTCCATTGTACAGGCCACCTCATGGTCCAGCGTGGCTACCGTGGCTCCAGCTGTCACCTCAGCATTCCAGGTGGGAGACAGGCAGAAAGGAGGCAAGAGCAGTAACAGGAGGTATACTGGCGTCTGCCCCCTATTCAGGGAGTCTTCCCCCAAATCCTACTTGGCAGCTTCTGCTTACGACTCACAGACACAGCTGCAGGGGAGCCCAGGAAGCGAGTCCCGCCAGGTGCGCCGGCTCCCAGCACCAGTGGGTGTCTTATTAGCGGGGTAGGCGATGCACCCCTGCAGACCGTCCAGGGCGGCAGGCTCAGCCTGGGGTCTGAATCCTCGCTCTGTGGCCTCCCTGAGCCTCACGTGTCTTGCCGGCCACGCACTCACCCACTGCCCCTCCCCCAGTACTCGCTGTGCAATGAGCCGCTGATCGAGCTGTCCAACCCCGGCGCCAGCGGCTCCCTCTTCTACGTCACCAGCGACGACGAGTTCATTATCAAGACGGTGATGCACAAGGAGGCCGAGTTCCTGCAGAAGCTGCTGCCCGGCTACTACATGGTGAGGGCGCGGCTCCGCGGCCCAGGCCGCGGGGCCCCGGGGGCACACACGGCACCGCCCGCAGGAGGCCTTCCCGGACGCCTCCCCGGGCTCCCCTCGGGTGGTCCCCCTGGGAGCAGTTGCTGCCGCCTAGGCCTAGTGGCCGTCCCCTGGCGGGTGGAACGTGGGCATCGCCCCTGCCTGGCTCCCCAACCCCACCCCTCGATGCCCCTGAGTCACCCATCTCAGAAACCGTGGCTCATGGGCCGCGTGTCTCAGCAGCCGTGACTCAGGCATGGGGGAGGAGGGGCCGGGATGCCAGCTGGCGCCTCACAGGACCAGCGGCCCAGGGCGCCTTCTGTTCTGTGTGGGACTCAGGACCCGAAGGGCATGTCAGGCCCCTGGGTGGGGGCCGGAGCAGGAGCCTCTGAGGCCCGGGCCTGCCAGCAGGGGTCCTGATGTGCCCGCTGACCTGGGTGGCTCCGCCTGTGTGCCAGTGGGGTCCGGACAGGCCCCTGCAGGCGGCTCTGCACAGACCGCGACTTCTGTGACGCCTGGGCGCCGCCCGGGCTCCTGAGTCGGGGGCAGCACACTTCCCGTGGAAAGCCAGAGGGCAAAGGTCCTGAGCCTCAGAAGCCAGACGGTCCCGGCTCCACCGCTCACGAGGGTCGTGAGGCCAGTGTGGCTGGGTGCCGATGAAACCTTGCCTGCCGGCTCTGAGCATGAATTCTCTGACTGTCACATGGCACAAATGCTGTTTCTCCTGTTTTTTTTTCAACTTAACAAAACCATGCTTAGCTCATGGCCATGTGAGAATGAGCAGCCTGCATTTGGCCCCCAGACCCCTGCCCTATACAGTGCCTGGAGGTCACGCCCCACGTTCCCCAAGGGTGGGCTGGGGAAGTGGGACATGTGTTCTGGCCGGGTGGGAAGTTGGGCCTGGTCACCTTGGGAGCATCCCACGGGGTTCTTTATCGAAGGCCATCTCTTGCGGGGCCTGGCCCTGTAGAATGAGACCCTCCCGGAAGTCCCGGTCAGGTGGGTCCTGGTGTAATGGCAGGGGCCGGGGGCAGTGAGGAGCCAGCCTAGGAGGGAGCGGTCCTGGAGGGCTTCCTGAGGAGGTGGCCTCCTTCCTGAGGGTCAAGGTGGGGTGGCTCTCCACCCACTGCCTCCCCTCCTCCCCGCCGCCCAGAACCTCAACCAGAACCCACGGACGCTGCTGCCTAAGTTCTACGGGCTGTACTGCGTGCAGTCGGGGGGCAAGAACATCCGTGTGGTGGTGATGAACAACATCCTGCCACGCGTGGTCAAGATGCACCTCAAGTTCGACCTCAAGGGCTCCACATACAAGCGGCGGGCCAGCAAGAAGGAGAAGGAGAAGAGCGCCCCCACCTACAAGGACCTGGACTTCATCCAGGACATGCCCGAGGGGCTCATGCTGGATGCGGACACCTTCTCTGCTCTGGTCAAGACGCTGCAGCGGGACTGCCTGGTGAGGCCGCGCGTGCGTCCCTGACGACCCCTGAAGGGGGAGCCCGGCCCAGCGCAGGCCTGGGGGCCTCACCTTTCCACCTGGAAGGCCTGCTGAGGTCCTCCAAGCCTCTCCCGCCCCCAGGCCCCTTTGAAAACTTGATGCAAACTCAGAAAACCACCCAGACCTAGGCCTCGGGGCCTCATGGTGCCCCTGTGCCTGGTTCCTCCACTGGCACCGGGCCAGGGCAGGTGGGAGCACGGGGGGCAGCAGTGGGGGACCTCACCGTCCAGCCCTGGAGGCTCACCCCGTTCCCCTTCCCTGCCACGTGAACCTGGCCCCTTGGCCTCACCTGAGATGGGGGGTGTGGACGGCATCCCGCGTGGCTGTGGGAGCTGAGTGGGCGCAGGCCCAGAGGCACAGCTGGGGGTCCCTGCTGGGTTTGGGGCGGGCGCTGGGGGCAGGGCTTGTGCCCTCCTGACCCCACTGCCTGCAGGTGCTGGAGAGCTTCAAGATCATGGACTACAGCCTGCTGCTGGGCGTGCACAACCTCGACCAGCAGGAGCGGGAGCAGCGGTCCCAGGGTGCCCGGAGCACCGCGGATGAGAAGCGGCCGCTGGGCCAGAAGGCGCTCTACTCCACAGCCATGGAGTCCATCCAGGGTGGCGCCGCGCGCGGGGAGGCCGTCGAGGCAGACGACACGTAGGTGACGGGGCTGCTGGGGCTCCCAGCTCTCATCTGCCCAGGCCCCTGACCAGTGTGAACGGCAGGGTGGCTGGTGAGGAAGGTGACAGGCAGGCATGCGGGGTTCCCCCCACCCCAGCACCACAGCCATCTGGTGGGTTCTCTGAGGGGCCACCTGGCCCCTGGGGGGCTGAGCAGCATCCTCGGCCCCTGTCCCTTTGATGCCAGGCGCCAGTGTGACAACCACAGATGTCCCCAGATACCGCCTGGTGTCCCTGGGGGCAGAGTCACCCCAGGTGGGAACTGCCACCATGCACGGCTATCAGGGTTGTCCCCTCGGCACTGTGTGCTGACCCTGTGGGGTCCGCCCACACCCTCGGCCACCCTGTACTGTTTGGTCCTCATGGGCCCTGGGGAGGGGAGTGGCGTCCCCCACCTTCAGCTGGGAGGGCAGAGGCCCAGAGGTGGGTGCCCGCCGTGGGCGCACAGCCAGCTGGTGTGGGGCTGATTGGACCCCAGCCCTGCTGCCACGGTCAGGCCCTCAGCCTCGTGGATGGAGGGGGAACAGGGCGCAGGGCCGGGGAACAGCGGGAACTAAGCCCCCTGTCAGACTGTGTTGGCGTTCTTGGGGTCTGCGCGGGGCCCAGCGAGGGATGGTGGGGCATGTAGGTGAGCTCGGCGGGGTGTGGAGTGCCGAGAGCAGAGGCTGCCGGGCCTCGGCCTGGGGGGCCTGGGGTCCCGGTGACTGGGTCAGCTGCCGAATCTTGTGGACTCACTATCCACGCCAGGCCGGGCCCTGGCGGGCCTGGGGCTGAGTCAGGCGATGTAACTCCCAGACTGCAGTGGGAGGCCCCTGAGGTCCTGCCTGGGGTGTGCGTGTGAGCCCAGGGGGTGCGCCCGTGCGCCTGCCTGTGCGTGTGCGTGCACCCAGGCCCTGTAGCCAGGGCTTCTCGGCAGCCGCTGCCTTCAGCTGTGGATTGGTGCCCCCCAGGCCTGCGTCCCAGGTGTCGGGACCTCCTGTCCTTCAGCCCTGCCTGCTCTTCCCTCCGTCCCTGTCCCCCGAGTCCCAGGCCCTTTGCAGGCTGGGCCGCAGCGGTGGCTCCTGGCAGGCCAGTCCCCGCCCAGCTCCGGGGTGCTGACGGCACTCTGGGCCCGTCTCTCCAGGATGGGCGGGATCCCTGCCGTGAATGGCCGCGGGGAGCGTCTGCTGCTGCACATCGGCATCATCGACATCCTGCAGTCCTACAGGTGGGCGCCCGCAAAGCAGCGCGCTGTCTGCTCCCAAGGCTTCCTTGGCCCCCGGAAGGCTCTTGCTTGGCCGCCCTTCTCCCAGGCCCCTAACGGGAGGTTGTGGTGTCGCCCAGGTGATTCCACCTTCGGGTTTTGTCCCAGGGACGCCTGAGGACCCGTTCTGCAGGCAGGTCAAGGCCGGCATGAGGCACAGGGTCAGGGCGGGAGGTGTTGCCTGCCGAGCGCCCGCCCAGCGCTGTCTGCTGAGCCCGAGTGCCCAGTGCTGGGCCAGGTGGAGTGGGATGGGGTCCTGGCCACGAACTCACTACTGGGGCCCGGCCATGTGGTCCTACGCGAGTGGGGCACAGCCTGAGGAACAGATGCCACAGCCCTGCCGTGGCTTAAATCCGGGGTGATGGGCGACCTCGTTATCCGTCCCGTATCCTTTGTGACCTTCTGGCAACGAGCGTTCCTTAATCATTGTTAGTTTTTTACTATGAGTGTTGTGAGTTCGATTTCCAGAATACAGCCTGCATTTCCTGCCCGCGCCCACCCCCTCCAGGGCATCCACTTGGCTCTGGGTGATTTCTTCGGTTTCCTCCTTTTTTAAACACAAAAATGGGCTCCCGCCCTTCGGACTGCTAACGTCTGCAGCCCGTTTTTTCCCCCCTGGGGGCTGCCTCACCCGCCGCAGGGACCTCCCTCTCAGCAGGCACGGGCAGCTCTCAGTGTGGCGTGGGATCCTGCAGAGGCCCGGCTGCAGGACGGGGGAGGACAGCACGTGGCAGGGAGCCATGGCCTCATCCTGGGCCGGGAGTGTCATAGTGGGTGTGCCGAGGCGAGGAAGGGTCCCTTCCCTCCTGCACACCAGGGGCATTCAGGCAAGCTGCCTGGAGGAGGCAACATTCCCCCCAGCCCCAGTGTGGTGTGGAGACCTGGCTCTAAGTCCAGCAGGGGCTGTGGGCTCCGCCTGGGCCCTGAGCGGGGGAAGGGCAGGCCCCAGCTCCAGGAGGTGCTGGCCATCTGTCCCTGCGGAGGGCCAGGCTTCATGCTGTCTGCACCCACGGAGGGCTGGGCTTCATGCCCTTCTTAGGTCCTCCCGGGGCAGTGGAGGTGGGAGATGCCAGCAGGAAGCGGGGGCAGGAGGGAGGTGGCCCCAGTTCCTCCAGACCAGGGCTCCCCGGCCACGCAGTCACGATGGCCACAGATGTCGCCCAGGGTCCCCTGGGGGCAGGCTCGCCCCGGGTGAGAAGCCCTGGCCCGGGAGGTCGGCTGACAGTGGGCATTCCTTCTGCAGGCTCATCAAGAAGCTGGAGCACACCTGGAAGGCTCTCGTCCACGACGGGGTGAGCGCCTCGTTCATTCATTCCACCCCTCAGTTCACAAACGTGCCAGTCCCTGGTCCAGGCGGAGGTGCCAGAGAGCTGAGAGACACCTCCCCCTTCCTGGAGCCATGTCCGGCGGGGTGGCCGTGACTGCAGTCACAGGCCAGGGGGTCGGGGCCCAGACGGGGAAGCTGAAGCAGCTGTGGGATCCCCAATGAGGGGCCTAGGCCATTGGTGAGGGGGCACAGGAGGGCTTCCTGGAGGAGGGGCTCCCAAAGCTGAGTTGGAAGGACTCCAGAGGTCAGCCAGATCAGGAAAGTCAGGCCAGCCAGGCAAAGAACATTCTGTAAGAGTGACATGGAGGGGTCGTGGCACTGGCCACCCCCAGGGGGCAGCACCACGCACTCTGACCCATGTTGCCCTGTGGGGATGTGGCTTTAGCAGAAATGCTGAAACGTGCTTTTTCCGTGAGCACTGCGGGTGTGTGAATGCCAGCAGGCCACTTCTAAATGCTAGGGACCGTGAGGACCAGCCCCTGGGGGCCAGAGCCCCCCCTTTGGGCCCCAAGCAGCCCTTGGACCCCGTCTAGCTGTGTAGACAGCTCAGGCCTCAAGCCTCTTGTCCCATGGTCCCTTCAAACCAGTTCTTACTAAAGTGCTCAGGGCTCTCTGTGGCCTGCATCTGTAAAATCCAAGATCCTAGCAAGCCTCCCACACCCCTCAGAGCGTTTGGAGGGTCCAGGTTGGAGCTTCTGAACATGGATTGAAAAGGTACAGGTGGGCTGGCCAGCAGGAGGCCCTTTGCCGCTGTCAGAAACCCACAGCCAGCGAAAGCTGTCAAGTCCCGACCAGGCTGGCTGTCACCCCCAAAATCGGATTTGTGTCGGCTCCAGGGGGCCCCAGAGCTTGGTCAGAGCAGCCGTCTACAGTAAGCAGGCAGGCAGGTGGGCTGGCTCTGTGGGCTTGGGCGCCAGGGACTTCCTGTGAGTCGCCGTACAGCCCCAGGGCTGGCCCTCTGCGGGGACTCTCACTGTCCCTGCTCAAGGATGGGAAATGTAGTTTCATTCTGGGAGGCTGCGTGTCCAGGTGGGTCCTGTTATACTGCAGCAGGGAGGTCACTGGGCCACCTCTGGGGACGTCCATGGGTGTCTCGACTGGCATTGGGAAGGTGCGGGCCGGGGAGGCTGCTCGGCCACCCAGAGTGCCCGGGACGGCCCCCACAGGATGACGTGGGGCCCCAGTGTCAGCCCTGCTGCCAGGAGGCCATGGACCCGGGACCGAGCGAGGAGTCTGCGCCGTAGGGCCCAGCACCCCTGAACGCCGGCCTCGCGTACATCCCGTCACGCCCCCCTGTTGCGCAAATGAAAGAGAAGCTCCATAAAGGGCGAAGTGTGGCCCAGCGTCACCCTACTGGTGGCGCCGGGACCGCCATGTGTGCCTGGCCCAGCATCCACCGTCACCCCCGCTCAGCCATCACACCTGCACCCATTAAACTCCACTTAAAAACAGGCAGGGGCCCTGCTTTGCCTCCCACCGGTTTATTTTGATGTTTGTTTACTTGTAGCTATTTTATTCCCATGGTCCAAAGAATTAAAAACACAGCTGGGTTTATAATGAAAACAGCCCCCGCCACTGTTCCCGACTGTTCCCGACTGGCTGTCCTGCTGGAAGCCCAGTGTGTGGGCCCACCGCCCCTCCACGTGGGCCGCGGGGGCCCCATAGTGCTTGCCCTGGGCTGGCACACAAGACAAGGAGGTTGTGGCTGGCCGTGCTCACCCCCCTCCTTGCCCTCGGCCCCGCTTCTCTTCCCAGGACACCGTCTCTGTCCACCGACCCAGCTTCTATGCCGAGCGCTTCTTCAAGTTCATGAGCAACACGGTCTTCCGGAAGAACTCCTGTGAGCTTTCAGGGCCCCTTGGGCAGGAGGGACTGGGTGGCCGGAGAGCGGTGGGCCCAGGGGCCAGGGCAGCCGTGTGGCCGTCCCACGCGGGGCACAGCACAGGGCCTGAGCAACGCCTCGTCCTGCCTGTGTGACCATGAGCACCTCTCTGTGCCTTGGTTTCCCCATCGGTACAGAGCTGTGAGGGCAAGGTGTATTTACACTCGCGGCGGGGGAGCTTGGCCCAGTGCTGGCACTTGGAGGGGCTGCTTGCAGCCTCGCGCCATCACCAAGGAAAGCCCGTGGGGGCACCAAGGCGGGCAGTCGTCAGCTCAGCCAGGCATCCTTAGGGAGGGCAGAGGGCAAGCAGCGGCAGCCCCCGGCCTGGGGAGGTCCCGTGTCTGTGTAGGGCCCTGGTACACACCCCAGCCACGATCCCGAGCAGCCATCGTTTCCCCCACCAGCCTCAGTGGGCGTGCTTGTCGGTCTGGGCTGCCGTGTCCCCTTGCTCGGTGTCCAGCCTGAGTCTGGCATACAGTCGGTGCTCATACGGGTCTTAGGGCTCAGCAACGGCCTTGGTCCACAGGGGCGACAGGGCCCGGCAGGTGGGGCTGCTGCCCGACCAGGCCGCGTGGATCTGGGGCACCTGAGCCGGCTTGAGGAGCCAGTGCAGCCCCACGTGCTGGGACGCCTTGTCAGCCGCTGGCCGGGACCGTGGTGGGAATGTGGACGTTGTGGATGGGGCGGCAGCACGAGTGCAGCCCCTGCCTCCTGAGAGCCGGTTGTTAACCGTGACCGGCACCCCGCTTCCTGGGACCCCTGCAGGTGTGGTGGCGGGGTGCCTGCTGGCCTCCGGGCATCAGAGGGCTGAGCGCCTGCTGTGTGCTGGAGGCTGTGGGGGCCATCCGGGGGCAGAGGCCACAAGGAGGAACAGAGAGAGCGTGGTGACGTCCGGGCAGCCGGGCCTGGTGTGCAGGGCGCTGTGGGGTTCCCGGCCTCATTTGACCCTGTGATGGCAGATGGGGACGCTGAGGTCCAAAGAGGCTGATACATGCTCCTTAGGCCACACGGCATGGAGCGGGGCTGAGGCCTGCATGCCCCACAGCCTTCCGTTCCGTCGAAGCCATTGCTTTCCCCGGTGAGGGGCAGGCAGGGCAGCAGGCTGGGTGTCCTTGTGGCCGTGGGCCCGGTGGCGCCCCGAGCCCCAGCCACCCTCCCTCCACAGCCCTGAAGTCATCGCCGTCCAAGAAGGGCCGTGGTGCCTTGCTGGCTGTCAAGCCCCTCGGGCCCACGGCCGCCTTCTCAGCCAGCCAGATCCCCTGCGAGCCGGAGGATGTGCAGTACGACCTGCGGGGGGCCCGCAGCTACCCCACGCTGGAGGACGAAGGTGACCCGGCATGGGCAGGAGGGCGCTGGCCTGGGTGCCGCAGAGGGGGCACCGGAAGCCGCAGTGGGGGTCCAGCGGGTGGGAGGGGCCTGGTCACAGTCACACAGAGCCCCCAGCCCGGGATCTGCAGCTCCCAGGGCTGGGGGGCTGAGTGTGCCCCCCGGGGAGGGGGGAGCCCCCGACACAGCAGGGCTGCAAAGACCTCCAGGACCAGGCACTCGCTGGGGTTGGGCCTGACCTTCTGGAAGGAGCTCGGGGATGGGCTAGGGACACCCACTAGGGAGAGGCTGCGCTGGGCCTGGCATGTTGGAGGATCGCCGGGGGGCCTGCGTGGCCGGGGCAGTAATGGAGGGGAGGGCGGGGTGTGGGGGTACAGCACCAAGCCAGGACCATGTGGGCCACAGGGAGGGGGAGGGGAAGTCCTGTGTCGGGGAAAGTCGAGCCCGTTTGCCCTCAAGCTGCCAGGGAAGGGCAGTGTCGGGGCGCCCGTGGGTGAAGGTGGAGCCACAGGCGCCCACTGCCACCTCCCCACAGGCCGGCCCGACCTCCTGCCCTGCACCCCGCCCTCCTTCGAGGAGGCCACCACGGCTTCCATCGCCACGACCCTGTCCTCCACATCCCTCTCCATCCCGGAGCGCTCCCCCTCAGAGACGTCGGAGCAGCCCCGGTACCGGTGAGCCGCCCGGGAGCCCGCCCGCCCCAGGAACGGGAGGGGCTCGGCCTCCCGCCCCTGCTCACTGGTTCGTCTCTCGGCAGGCGGCGCACGCAGTCCTCAGGGCAGGATGGCCGGTGAGCTGAGCCCGCAGCCCCCTCCCCTCCACCCAGAGCCCCTCTTCTGACCACTTGGGGTGACCTGGAGGACCCCTCCCCGACGGCTGCCTGTTGGTCCTTGTTTCTTTTTCATTGTTTTCCTTCTGAGAGATGCCGAAGGGAGCGTAGTGAGACGCCTCCATTCCCCTCCTGGGGGCGGCGCCCTGGCAGGGTTTGTCTCTTGTAGCCATTTCCTGGACGAGCAGCAAACCCTTGCACAGGCCTGTTTGCCCCTGTGCTGGTGACACAAGCGAGGGGCTCTGCTCGCCCCCCACCCCTGCTGGGTCCCTCACCAGATGCTTCCTTTCCCTGGAGGGCTGCAGCCTGCCCTCGGGACACTGGGCTTGTCCAAGTGGTCTGAGCTGTGGCTCTGCAGTGAGCCGGGATTCTTCCCTTAGCATGTTTGTGTGGCCGTTCCTGCCACTTGCAGAGCCTCGTGGTTCCAAGCACGTTTGCCAGAAAGTGTATCTTCCTCTGTCCAGCCACTCCCTCCGACCTCAGCGACCTTTTTGCTATCTGGCGTCATCCAGAGAGATTCTGCACGCCTGACTGCTGGAATGTTCTGAGCCTTCTGTCGGGCCTCGGCCCCTGGAGCCCCCAGGAGCCCCCTCCCCGCAGTCCAGCCCCAGGCGGGTGGGCAGGGTCCAGGCTGACATATACTGTTGAGGATGCTGCTGGCGCCAGTCCACAGCCCCTCCGCCCCGGGGAGGCCTGACGGCCACGGGGGTGAGGCGTGGGCCGGAGCTCAGGGGCTCCAGCTTCCCGTGGGGTCAGGTGCACGGGAAGGTGGAGGGGCCTGAGGAGGGGACTGAGGCCCAGCTTCCCGCTGCCTCTAGGCCCCAGGGGGAGGTGCCCACAGAGGACCTGCAGCAGGTCACAGCACAGGTGGAACCCACGTGCAGCGTGGAGATCGTGGTTCCTGAGGGGGACACAGGGTGAGTGGCTGCTGGCCGAGGGTGGTCACAGGCCAGCTGTGCAAGGCAGGCTGGGAAGTGGACCGCATGGGGCCTGGCTCTGGAGTGGGGGCGGGGCTCAGAGGAGGAGAGGGCTGCCCAGGGTTGTGCGGTACGTGAGGGGAGACCAGGTGCACCAGGCCTGAGCATGGGACGGAACAGCTCACGCAAGCGCACAGGCAGGCAGGCCGTCCCCTGGGTCCCGGCAGACTCTGGAGTGTTGGTTTCATTGGGCTTCCTGGGCCTTCTGCCTTCACGACGACCCACTGCCGAGGGCGGAAGGGTCAGGGGCCTTGGGGCATGGGCCCGGGAGGCAGAGGAGGCCTGCCGTCCGGGGCTCCCCCCCAGCACTCCCATGTCCCGCCTGTGTCCCCAGTGCCGACGCTTCCCCAGCCTGCACAGCTGCCGTGGAAGTGGAAACCACCAGCCAGGCTTCAGAGCCCGCCAGCCAGGCCTCAGACGAGGAGGACGCGCCTGCCACTGACATTTACTTTGTAAGTGCCACCGGCAGCCTCTTGTCACCAGGCCCTCGCCATATATGCTCACAAGGACCACACACTCACGACACACACACACCTGGACAAAGGCACGCATGTCATGTGCACACACTGCCACATTTGCACACGCTCATGCTGACCCAGCACACCTGCCTGGACAGACTCCACACTCGGGCACACGTGTGCGGTCATCTGCAACATGCCTACAAGCTCTTGGACGCTCCCACTTGCACTCACCTGTGCACGTTCACTCCCGTGGTGCAGGCGTGCACCGCCGCCCACCGTCCAGGCCAGGCTGCTCCTCCCAGGCCTGGCCCAGGCCCTGCCTCCTGCGTCTCTGGGAAGCAGCTGGAGTCCTCTAGCCCTCAGCCACCCACTGCCCCCAGCCCAGGTCCCCTGCTCCTTGGGCAGCCCCAGGGCTGCCAAGATGGCTGCACGCGATGCAAGTCACCCTGGGTGGCAGATGTGGTCTGGTGGGGTCTGCCCTCAGGGAGCAGGGGCCCTGTGGCGGGCAGGTGGGCATCGCGCTGCTGCGCCCGGTGGCTGAGGAGCTCCAGGCAGGGTCTGCTGACGCAGGAAGGGGCCCGGGACCAGCCTCACAGAGCTGGGGGCTGCCTCCCACCTGCATCTCCCACCAGCAGGCAGGGTGGATGAGCCTGGAGCCTGGGTGAGCTGGGGGCCAGGGGCCTGCAAGTCCGGGCAATGGGCCCCCGACAGTGGGTCCTGCGCTGCCTTCCACGGGTGGCCCGACTCCAGGCAGTTGGCCCCAGCTGCAGCGTGGAGGGCCGGGTGTGACGGCACAGCCTCTTCCAGGACCATCTCTCTGTCCCATCTTGTCTCTGCCCCAGGGGCAGGTGAGCTGGGGCCCGGCTGCTGCCCCCGCTTCCCAGCTAACCTCCTGCCGTCGTAGAGCCAGCTGCCGGGTCCAGGCCCACTGCAGCCTGAAGAAGTAGTAGGTGTGGGGCATGCCGTGTGTATCCCCACACCTGCCGTCATCTCCCCGCCCCCGGGGGCTTGGTCTGTGTCCCGTTCTCCGGGTCCCTGTGTGAGGCGGCCCCAGGGCCACGTCCTCTGTGTGCCTGGGCCCCGCGGGCAGCAGGAAGGCAGCGGCCGCGGTGGCAACTTGCCGTGCACAGACCCAGCTCTGCTCTGCCGTCAGCGCCCCTGCCCCTCCCGCCTGCTGCCGCCCGCCGGCTCCCTGCCGCCTTATCCTCTACTCTGTTGGCTTCCTCCCCCGCCCGCCCTGCCCGCCCAGTTCACCGATGGGAGGTGCTGGACTTACTGTCCCCGGCGTCGCTGGCTGCAGCCGTGATGCTGAGCTCCTCGGGGACTGTAAGTGACCAGAGCAGGCTTCCAGGGAGCCCGGCCCCCGTCCCACCCCCCTGGGCAGCGGGGAGCCTCAGCTCCTGGCCATCCCTCTCCCTCTGAGAAGGGACACGGGGGAGTCACTGAGCCGGAGGTCAGTCGTGCACCCTGCGGTGACGTCATCCGATTCCCTCTGAGGCGGCCGTCGCCAGCCTGCAGGTGCAGGCTGGGCCCGGGGTGTGTGGCCGTCGTGGGGTCTGATGTGACCCCAGCCCTGGCCACCTCTGCCCCTCACCCAAGCAAGTCAGAATGAGTCGGGTAGGCACTTGTTCAGACTCCCTGCCCGTGGCTGCCCCAGGGTCATCTGCCCTGCTGAAGGGGGCGGCCATGGGCCAGCAGGGGTACTGTAAAGGCGGGATCTCAGCTACAGGAAGGAGAGGCTGGTATCTCCATACTCATTTCACAAGTGGAGAAACCAACGCCTCGGGTCCCAGGGAGACTGCGAGAGGCATGGTTTAGACCATAGCTGGGTCCAAACTCCCACGCAGCCCGTGTCTTCCACCCGCCGTGCTTGGTTTGCTATGTGAATATCACGCAGCAGTGGTCACTGTCATGGGTGGTAAATGGGGCTCAGAGAGGCCAAGTAACCTGCCCAGAGCCACACAGCTCTCGACGAGCAGAGCAGGCCATGTGCCTGCAGTGAGTGTTTCTGAGGCCTCGAGGTGAGGCCCCTCAGCGGCTCGCAGCGACACTGGGCGTCGGGCACTGCTGAGTGGACCCGGAAAGTGGGCAGGGCCTCCCCAGCCCCTCCCACCACACTCCTCCTGCCTGAGATGAGGATGCTGCTCCCCAGAGGTGGCCCAAGAGCTGGGGCCGTGGGGACCCCTGGAGAGGGCTTGGCCTGCCTGGCACCACGCGGGTGTGAGGGGTGGGGAAAGAAAGGGCAGTCTTGGCCTGGGGCCAGCAGAGGTGATGAGGCCAGATGGCAGGAGAGGGGGGCAGCGAAATGAGCCAGACCAGTGTGGGCACGGACCCAAGGCCAGCAGGGCCGGAACTATGTGTCCTTGGCCAGCTCAGCGCTGGTTCCCTGCCGCCCACCACCCCCTGGGACTTGAGCCTTGGATGGTAGCTGCCACCATCGAGCACCTCCCGCTGCCACCCTGTGCTGGACGCGGGGCACGAGGGGCCCCTGGTGCCTGTGCAGGCAGGGGACAGGCATCAAGCCTGCTGCCCCATAGTCAGGTTGTGTCACACTGTGACTGTTGGAAGAAGGGCTGGGTGGGGCCTACTCTGGGGTCTTGTCCTGCCCCACATGCCTCTGTGCGAACCTGTCTGCAGATGGGCATGGCCCTCGGGGTGTACAGCCCTGGCCTCCCGGGGCGTGTGGGTCAGCTGCCCGCAGGGCCCAGAGGCCTGGTGGGCCATGAGGTGCCAGGGGTCTGGCCTGTGAGGGCAGGTGTCATGGCCCAGAGGTGGGGCCCTGTGGGCACAGGGAGCCCACAGTGGCCAGTGGCAGGCACAGTCCGCAGGTGCCCTGAGGGGCAGTGGGACAGCAGGGCTCTGCTGATGCTGGTCCTCACGAGGCTGCAGGGAGGCCAGCCCGGCAGAGGAGGCAAGACTGGTTGTCGCGACCGGACCGGGAGGGGGCGGGGCTGGGGGCTGGTTGGGTCACAGCCATGGTGGGCATAGGGCCCCAGGACACGGGGGTGGACGTGGCCAGGGCAGGTGTGTGCTCAGGCCCCAGCTCTCCCGAGTGGAGACCAGGCCGGGGCACCCGGGAGATAGCAGGCAGGAAGGAGAAGGCGGTGGGGGAGCCCTGGGGAGCTGTGGTGCTGGGACTGTCTGCCCTCCCCCCAGCCCGACCAGGAATGGCGAACCCCCCCCACTGACACAGCCGGGAGGCCGGCCTGCTCCCTGGCCAGGTCTCTGCCGCCTGCTCCGTAGGTGGCTGGTGCCTCGGTCTGCCCCCAGCGGATCTGCACGTTCTAGTCCTGAAAGGCTTCCGGGTGGTTGAGATCTGGGCTCCTCCCCGTACTGGGAGCCCCAGTGGAGGGTCCTCGTGCCCGCACAGCAGGCGGGCAGGGGTGCTGCCAAGCCAGGATGGAGGGCAGGGGCCACGGGAGGACCAGCCGGGAGGGGACAGGACAGACAGCACGTGCAGCCCCCCACCCCTGCCTGCCTCCACTCAGCTCTCGCTTCCTGCTGCCCACCTGCCCTTTCTCAACCCTGGGCCGGCCCCCAGCCCCCACCCAGCCAGCAGTCCGGGCTGGGGCAGGTCCTGCCAGGGAGAGGGTGGCAGAGGCCGAGCTGCCCCCTCGCGCCCCGTGTTGGGGTCCTCCTCCTTTATTTCTGTCTCTTCCTTCCTCCCTGCTGCCTCTGCCACGCGCCTCCTCACCCCGCCCTTCCTGCACGTCCGCCCGCCCTGCAGCCCACCGATGAGAGGAGCTGGGTTTACTCCCCGCTTCACTATAGCGTACAGGCCCACCCGGCCTCCGACGGCGAGAGCGACACCGTAAGTGCGCCCACAGTGCGGGGCGCCAGGGCCGGGGCTGCGAGGGGCCCACAGTGTGGCCCCCAGATGCCCAGGGACAGATGGGGAGACAGACCCGGGGCGGAGGGGCAGGCGGCCTGCAGCCCTGCCCTGGGCCGACCGCCAGCTGCCGTGGGGTGAGCACCTCGGGGCCTGTGTCACGGCTCCTGGGGTCCCTCCTGTAGCAGCAGCCGCGGGAGGCCCGACAGGTGGGAGACGCCCCAGTCTCCATGCCCTCACCTGCCCCTCTTGCTTCTTGCAGTAGTTTCTACGCTGCCACCCTGCTCGGCCCAGAGCCCGGGAGAAGCCTGCCTCGCCGCTGCCCGACCGCGCGCCCACGCCCTCCCCTCGCCACCGCCGGGCTGCAGAGCGACGGGCGCGCGCCCGGCCCCAGCTTCCCTCAACTACTTAGCCTGTGATACTGTGAACCTTCGTGAGTTTCCAGTCACGTATTTATTTCGGGTCCTTACTCTTTGCACAGAGACAGCAGCACACAAGTGCTTTTTTAGAAAAGGAAAAAGGAAAAAAAAATACCAGGAAAGAAGAAAGAAACTCCATTCCACTGTGCTTGTCGGCTCTTTGCATCTGCACGTGCGGAGCGGGGGTCCAAGGCCTGTGGGCTGTGAGGGCCTGCCTGGTTCACCCACCCTGCCCTCCACCGCGGACAAGCGCCCCGGAGGGAGAGTTCCCGGGGCACGTGCGGAGACTGCCCGGCAGATGGCCTCGGCTCGGGCTTGTGGGCTGGGCACCAGACGTCCCCCTCGGGTGTGGCTGGCTGGGGGCCTTTGGGAACTGCCCACCCTGCCAGCCCCTTTGGTCTCTCAGTGTCTGTCTCCCACCATCGCCACCTCCCAGGTGACTTATGAGCGGGAGCTGCCAGGTGGACGTGGCCACCCCCTCTCCCTGGAGCTCAGGCTGTGGACTTCCCCCGAGTGGACCGCTCAGTATCCAGAGGGGGCCCAGCCAAGGGAGGGGGCGGCCGGGCCACAGACCATGGGGCCTCCAGAGAGCAGACGCCCCCGTGAGCACCCCCAGGACTGTGGCAGGCATCTGCTCTTTTTCAAGTGATGGTGACTCTCGTGCCAGGGAAAGGCCAGGAGGAGATATTCATGAAACATGCTTTCTTTTGGGTTTGTCATATTCAACAGTGACAGCCACCTTGCGCCCATTGCCCCATGGGGTGGCCACCAGGGCCCCGCCATGTCCAGAGGCTTCGCAGGGGCTCTGCTGCCTGCACAGAGCTGCAGGCCCACCTCCAGAGAGGTGACTTGCAGTGATTTCCCCTGCCCGCTCTGTGGACCACCACGGGGGTAGGGGGCCCAGGCATTGCTGCAGTGGAGGCCGCATCCTCTGGGAAAATTCCTCCCCAGCCCCTGTTCTCCAGTGAGCCCCAGGGAGCTGGAAAGGCCACTGGCCCAGGCATGGGAGATGTTGAGTCTGCCGCAAGCTGCACACATGCTGCTCTGCCCCAGGAGATCTGCCAGCCTGGCTGCGTCCTTTCCCCTAGAGAACCAGGCTGCCTGTGGGCAGGGCTGCTGGGGACGCCAGCACATGGCCCCAGGGAGGCGCCCCGAGGACCCTCAGAATGAGCCTGCAGGCGTCCCAGACTAGCAAAGCCTCGTCCCCTCCCACCTGCCGAGGAGCATTTGTCCAGACCCCGGGAAGCATCCTGGCCTGCATTTCAGACGGCCTCTGTGTGCAGGCGCCCCAGCCACACGCCGCTGAGCTGCTAGTCTGTCCCTGCCCAATCCCACCAGCAGGGAGTGGTCTGAGCGGGCAGAAGTCCAGGAGAATCTGGGACCTCCATGACTAGCAGGGTGGCTGTGCCACCTATATGCTGATGTTGGCTGGCACCAGGGACTTGGTGTGCCCATGGGGACGACCAGAGCCACAGGCAGGCATGGTCCTGAGGCTGTGGGACCCCCGCCTAGAGTGCCCTCAGCCACCCGCAGCTTCAAGAGCGAAGAGAGGAGCTGCCTGTGAAGCCCATCAGGCCTTCCTGAGTGCACCACGGAAAAAAGGCGTCAATTGGATGCTGACCTGTAGGAAAAATGTGCAAACCTGGATGTTACAGCGTTTCTGTGCTCGTATTCAGTCACCCAGACCCTTTTGAGGACCTGTTGTGTGTCGGCTGCATTCTTTGTCCCTTTTCAGAGATCTGTCACACAGATGCTAAGTGGTCCACGGACTGTGCCGATGGGAGGTGTTTGCGCATTTTCCAGGCAGGGCCAGAAGGCCAGACCTTATTTATAATGTGTAGCGAATTCATGGCCTTCCCCAGGTCCTGGGTGAGGAACGCAGGGGCCCACCCAGCTGCTGCTGCCCCCGGGATAGAAGTCTGTACATTCCTTGGTGACTCATCTCTGGCTGTGGTCACCCAGGACATGAGCAGGGTCTGGACTGTGGTGCTGGCCTCCATCCTCTGCCTCCTCACCACCCTGGCCTCGGCTACCCAGCTCAGTGCAATACCCCCATCCCCCATGGGGTCCTTTGCCATGGTACTGCCACTGCAGACCCCCCTCAGTCCCTGCCCCAGGACAAGTGCCCTCCACCATCTTTCTCTGGGGGACCAATTGCATTGCCTGCCCCACCCCGATCTCGTTTTTATGGCCGAATTGATTTCAAAACACAACAAGACTGCAAACATTGTGTGTCTTACTTCAGCCCCGTGGTCTGGTGTGTGACAATCCAGAACCTGGCCTCTTTGGCCACAGGATGCCGGCTCGCTCAAACCCAGAGCCGGGGTGCCTCCCTAACCGTGCAGCCCCTGCTGGCCCCAGTAGCACTTGAATGCAGTCTCAGACCTCTGCCCCCAACCCCCTCCCTCTTTTTACGTTGAAGAGATCTCTCTAATAAATCGGTTAATAAGCATCGGTCCACCTCTGCCTCTCTGAATGTTCCAGTGGTTCTGTTGGGAGTTTAAGGGACTGACTTTGAGTGAGACCAGGAAGAAACCTTAGAAAGATTTAAAATGATAATAACCACGATGACAAGACCCAAATGCCTTCCATAGCAGCTGTGGCCTGCTCCGGGTTCCCATTCAGCTCAGAAAACTTTGAAAAGCTTCTGACATCAGTGCAGCCCAGCCCAGCCCCAAAGAATACTCTGCAAAGTTTGTATTCATTCTGCCAGAATTGCTCAAATTGAGTGATGCTTGGACCCCTTTCAGAGGGAAAATATTTCTTAGATTTCCAATTTGAGAAACACTGCTTTGGAAGTAAGATCATGTGTGTAAGCAAGACCTCAGAAGCCCAGTGTTGGCCATGGTGCAGATGTACAACAGCACGGCCCGTTTATCAACTAGCCTCCCACACCATCTGGAAAGCACGTGCTTACCTTCTGTTCAAAGATTAGTATTCAGATACTCTAAAGGATGCATCTGCATTTTAAAAATCATGGGTCCTGGGCTCCCCTCACATTTTGGGCCACCCCATCCCTGGGACCACACATGTCCCAAGGCAGGCAGGGTTATCAAGGGTGATAGGAGATGGGCCTCTGATGTTTCCATCAGAAGGTCCCCTCTGTGCCACCACCCTGCACCTTGGCACCAAGCAGAGCATACACAGCATTTAGAGTGGTATTAGGAGGTTGGGTTTTAAGATAAGCTTTTAGAGAGTTAGATTAAATAAAAATATCAAGTACCATGCTCTGGGCTGGGCTAGAGGAGCTCAGAGCAGGACTTTGGGGTCCTCTAGATCTCCCTGCCTCCAGTCTGGCCCATCTATAGTCCGTCCTTCCCACCAGTCGGGCAGGGAGCACGTGACCCGTCCCCTGTTCATCTGCCTCTGCTTCAAACCCTCCCGCGGCTCCCCAGCACCCACAGGCCAAGGCTGCACCACCAAGTGCAAATCCCAGCTTCACCTTACCCCTGGTGACTGCCCCTCTCTGAGCCTGTTTCCCCATCTATAAAACGAGTTGATGGAGAACTCAGGGAGTTCCGCAAGTTTTGCGTTTTCTTTAAAGCTTAACCCCTGAGTTACACGGTACCCGCCCAGCAGCTAAGGCTTTTCGGTCTCCATGCCAGCTCCCATCCCTGGCCCCCTGGAGCGGTCTGCGCCGGAACCTGCAGTGGGGGAAACCTCGCTGCCAGGGCACGCCTTCCGTTGGCCACGCCCCGTATGCCACGCCCACGCAGGCTCCACTCCACCCCACCCCACCCCCGGAGCCGTGGCTTCTTGGTCCCAGGCTCCGCCCAACTCACAGTTCCGGGTCGGCCCTTGCTCCGCCCCCAGGGCCTCAGGTCCCCTAAGGGTTGGACCCACGTGGGGCTGCCCCTCGCAATGCCTAAAGAGCAAGTCCCCGAACCTGTAGACGACAGTCCTGCAGGAGCCCACACGAGGGCCACGTTTGAGCGCGGTGCGTAGGCCGCGGGGCGCCGGAGTCCCTGCGGGATGGGGCGCGGGACGGGTTCCTATATCCTGGCTCAGGCGCGGATGGGCAGCCGACACGCGCCGCAGATGAGGAAGGCCCCCGGCGCAGGCCCCGGATATTGGTGTCAGCCCAGCCCCCGCCGGCCCACCCGATGGGTCGGGATACACGCTCTCGTTCGCGGTCAGCGAGTCGCAAGGACCGAAGGCAGCGAAGTGGGAGTCGGAGCCGAAGCCGGAGCAGGAGCCATGGGCGACGAAAACGGCGGCGCCGGGACGACGAGAGACGGCCCAGGCGGAGGCGGCGAAGCCATGAGCGCAGGTGAGTTGCTATGGGAGCGGCGCTGGGATCCGTCGCCTGCCCTCGGGTTGCCGGGAGACCCTCGAGTCAATCAGGGAGGGCTTCCTGGAGAAGGGGCCATCTGAGCACGAGGAGGAATTAACCAAGTAGGGAAGGCAAAGCGAGAGGCGTTCCAGGCAGGGACCTGGTGGTTGGAGGGGCAGCAAGGAGCGCAGGGAGCGAGGCGGAGGGGCCGTGGGAGGTGAGGTCCGAGAGGTGACCGGAGACCAGGTAACGTAGAGCCTTGGGTACGGCGGTGAAGGGCTAGGCCGTTATCCGAGGGGGAAGTAGGGGGCCATGAGAGGGTTTTGAACGGCGTGATGGGGTCTGACTGTGGAGGACTTCCCTCTGGCTTTCGCCTGGAGAAGGGGCTGGGGGTAGGCAGGTGCTTGCTTACCAGTGAGGAGAAACGTGGTACGGTAACCTAGGCAACAGATGTTGGCGGCCTTCACAAGAGGGGGGCTGTGGGAGGCCCAGTGGGTAGATTTGAGAGGGATTTCGGAAGTAGGGGTGACACTTACCAATGTAAGTGGGGCGTGAGAGGGAAGAACTGTTGATGACAAGTGGCAGAACTATTTACTTAAGACCTGGTCTAAGCTTACCCATGGCCCACAGTCCTTTTCTTCTGGAAATGGGACACCTGGCCAGACCGGGGTCCCCCTGCCACCTCAGCCCATAACTGGCTGTGGCACTCAGGCCAGTCTCTGCCCCGCTGTGGCCGAGGTTTCCTCACCTGTGTCCTCCAACATCTCCGTGGGGCCTCTCCAGACATGCATTGGCCCCCAGCCCGCCAACCTGTTCACGCCATAGCCAGACATAGCTGGTCACCCTCTGGGTTTGAGAAGGTGGTCTTGAGTCTTGTGAGGTCATTGCTTCCCAGGAATTCCACAGCGTTACAAGAGGCAGAACAGAAATAATAATTTAAATCAGGGCTTCCCAAACTACAGCCTGTGAACCAAGAATAGTTTCTACATTTTTAAACAGTGAGGAAAAAAGTCAAAAGAAGAACAGAATTTCATGACATGTAAAAATTATATGGAATACTCAAAAGCACTCAGACTTTGGTATTCCAAAATAAAAGTTTATCGGGATACAGCCACGCCCATTAGTTCACATCTGTCCATGGCTGCAGTGGGATGACAGCAGCAGAGGCAGGTAATTGTCCTGTAGACACGTTGGCTCTTTACATAAAAAGTTTGCCTGGGTTAAGCGCCTGGAGTTGAAGTTTAAGATTGGTTCATGTGTAGCGATAAGTCTTGTTATTTATTATCTTTGTATCTTTTTTGTCTGTTGTTTTCTAATGTTTGAATTAATCTAGTATTTAAAAAACTGTCTACCTTAGGTAAATTAGAGTCAATGTCATTTATGAAAATTTGCATAAATTTGTCACATTTAAGGACTCCAAGATGATTGGTCTTCAGAGTGTAGTCTTTCGGCACAAGCTTAATAGGTAGAGTGCTTAACAGAGTAAAGACAGCTTTGGTGGTTCCTCTCCACGTTCAGAGGCCCCTGGACATTAAAGGCTTCATCCCTGGGGCTGGCACACTGTGTTCCCTGCTCACAGTGCCCTTCTTGGCTCTTTGTTCCTGCCAGTCTTACTCCAGCTCATGCCTACCCATCCGGAAGGACAAGTTTAAAAACACCACCATCTCCTGTCAGCCTTCCCTCGACACCTTGGACAGGTCAGGGCCTCTGGTTCCTATGCTTAGTACTGCTGTGTTCCAGCGCTACGGGATGCTGGCTGCTTCTGGAACACGCCAAGTAAACTCCTGCCCTGTGCTTTTGTTCTGGCTGTGCCCACGACCTGCACCACTTTCTCCGAGATCTCCCTGGAGCTCCTGCCCGCTTCCCCCAGAGCGACCTGTCCAGGCCTCTGACGCTCCGTCTCCTAATGCCAAGTCACGTCACCAGCCTCTGTGGCTCATCACGCTCCCTAGGTCACCTTGTGTTTGCTTGTTGATGTGAGCCCCACAAAGGCAGGGACCATGGATGGCTACTGCTGTGTCTCCAGAGCCTAGTGCAGTTCCTGGCACTGCGAACAAGTGACTGACCAGCAGGCAGTAAGCAGACCTTTGTCAATTCCCTCTGCAGGCCGGATTCGGAGGAGGAACAGTGGCAGAGGCAAGGGAGGCGGAGCCGGAGCCCCCCGCCACCCCGATGGTGCTCACGGGACAGGTCCTCCCGGTCTGACTCTGGCAGTGTGCAGCGACAGCAGGGCCGGTGGGCCCACCGCCAGCGGACACGCTCCTGGTCCCCGGGCTCCTCGGCGTGCAGCTCAGCGTCCCCAGACCGTCCCCAGAGCCCGCGGGAGGCGGCAGCCCTGAGCCACGAGCAGAGCTTGCGTGAGCGGCTGCGGCTGCGTGAGGAGAGGAGACAGCAGGAGGAGCTGATGAAGGCCTTCGAGACGCCTGAGGAGAAGCGGGCCCGGCGGCTGGCCAAGAAGGAGGCCAAAGAGAGGAAGAAGCGGGAGAAGATGGGCTGGGGGGAGGAGTACATGGGCTACACCAACACCGACAACCCCTTCGGCGACAACAACCTCCTGGGCACCTTCATCTGGAACAAGGTGAGCCCGGCCGGCTGTGTGGCGCGCATGCTCGCCCGTCCCTCTTGCCTCCCCGACAGTCTCTGCGGTGTGTGCCCTTTACAGCTTGTTTCAAGAGACGTGTCTTTGTGCACGTCTCCAGGGGGCCCTTTGCCGTTAGGATCTACTTGCACACACACACCGGCTTCAGCCAGCGGTTCCTGCCGCACCTCCCTTGTGGTGTAAACTTCCAGTCACTCTTTGCCCTAAAAACCGGCTGCCACCTCGTTCTCCAGATGAAGATCGTGCACCAGTCACTTCCCCGCCAGCCATGGCCCTGGGCACATGGCTTAATACCACAGAACTTCTCAGAAATCCAGAGTCAAGTGCCGGTAGAGCCGCGGTCTGCGTGGAGGATCTAGGGAGAACCTTCCTTGCCTCCCAGCAGCCAGTGGGTCCTGGCAGCCCTCGGCCTGTAGCTGCCCCACGCCCATCTGCTCCATCATCATGTGGCTGGCTGGCTGCCCTCTGTGTCTTCACGCGGCCACCGCCTTGGTCTGTGTCTGCACTTCCCTCTTACCTGGGCACCAGCCACCACTGGCTTAGGGCTGCCTGGCTCCCATGTGACTCATCTTACCGAGTCGCATCTGCAGGGTGCCTATCTGCCAAGGAGGTCACACAGCTTCTGGGGTTGGGACATGGACCTGTCCCTTTGGAGGACATAGTTCAATCCAACACGGTGCCCCTGGGCTGTGGGGCTGAGAACAGGTGGGCACCGTGGCACCCTCGTGCGTGGCCTGTGCTCCAAATGGTGCCTTGCTGTTGTCTCGAACACATGGGGCCTTTGCACTCGCCTCCCCTCTGCCCAGAGCATGCCTCGCCACCCGTGGCTCTTACCATTCAGATCACCGCCGCCCTGTGGCCTCTTCTGAGAGGCCTTCCTGGCCCCTCGGCCCCCCTGCCCCCGTGCCCTTTTCACCGAGGCACTGCCGAGATCTCCCACCCTAGCACTTCGCTGATGTGTGTTGTCTGCCTGCAGGGGCTGCATACAGGTGGGCCCAGCCTGGTCAGTGAGTGAGAGAGGCAGGGACCCTGGGTCTCTGGGGTCAGCAGCCTCATGGGGGAGACAAGCTGTAAATAAGTAAGTTTGTGAAGCTTGCAGAAGAGCACAGGAGGGCGGGTGCATGGCCACCGCAGCTTAACGTGAGCAGTCCACAAAGGTCATGTTGCAAAGTGACGTCTAAGTGCCTGCCATGATTTATAAGGTGTGATCTCTGCCAGACTGGAAGCCCCGGGTGAACCCTGAGCTCAACCTGACACACAGTAGCGCCGAGTGAATGAGCTTGCTGTGGTCTGGCAGAGGCGCACGTCGGAGTGTTCGGGCGCTTCCCTGACAAGCTGGTCAGCACCTAGACTGCCCCTGGGGAGTGCACCCCTCAGAGGGCTTCCTCCTTTGATGGGCAGGTGGGGTCCAGTCCGGGGAGCGCTACCCAGGACAATGGCATGGCCGGCGTCCTCGGGCCCACTGGGCTGGCTGGGTGGGCAGTCACGGCACTGGACATCAGTGCACACTCTGTGCCAGGTGCCATTCACTGCTCCTGTGTGTCCACGTCCCACTGCAGCCTCGCCAGCCTCAGGCCACTCCACTCCCGAGTGGCAGGGCTGGGGTTTGAACTGGGCTGCCCGGCTCGCAGGCCATGCCCTCTGCTGCCATTCTGTGCAGAGGTGAGCTGTGCGGGCACTGTTAATCCACGGACAGCATCCCAGGCCCCAAGGGATGGCCCTGAGCCAGAACAAAAAGCTGTGCTTTTTCGGGGATGGGCTGGGGATCCGTGAACAACCCTTGGAGTCAGAGGTGTGGGCTCAGCACCCAACCCAGGCAGCAGTGCTGAGGTGGTGTCAGGGTGTCCACAGGACCCAGGGCTGTGCCCGACACCCTCCGCCAGCGAGGGCAGGTGGGTGACCTCACCGTGCTCCAGGCTCCCCCTCCTGTCCACCTGCCATCCCACCGCACCCACATGCAGCGGGGCCTGACCCACGGCGGCCTGGAAAGCCGCACGGAGGTGCTGCAGGCTATTGTGTAGAACGAGTCAGTGGTCCGTGTGGGACCCCTTGCGGGTGGTATTTGTGAGTCTCACAGGGGCGGGGGGCTTCCGTGCCCTGTGTATGAGTCCATCTCACACCAGTGAGGGCTGCGCTATAACACGGGGTCGTATCGAGTCAGTTCTGCCGGTATCCGGGGACCCTGTGGCCAGGGTGGGTCAGCGCTCTCGGCCTTGCTCCCCACCTGTGACCGCGGCCGAGCCGGGGAGGCACCCCGAGGGTGGTGCCAGCGCCCTGGGGCGGATGGGTGTGGGTGCACCTGCTCAGTGGGCACGGGATTGGCCCTTCCAGGCCCTGGAGAAGAAGGGGATTGGCCACCTGGAGGAGAAGGAGCTGAAGGAGCGGAACAAGAGGATCCAGGAGGACAACCGGCTGGAGCTGCAGAAGGTGGGCGCACAGCTCGGGGCGGGGTGAGGGGGCCCGGCTGGCCGGCAGGGCGTGCAGGGGCGTCCGGTCAGGCCACTGGACTGGCCACTGCGGACCACTTCTCCTGCCCTGGGGTCTGTCCGAGGGGCCAGCCGGCTGGGGTGGGGTCCCCCCCCGCTCCACGGGGCCCCACGGCCTGAGGTGCAGGGCCGGCTGCTCAGAGCCGCCAGCGCCCAGCCGTCCCAGCCCTGTGCTCCCCGTGCCCCAGGTCAAGCAGCTGCGTCTGGAGCGGGAGCGGGAGAAGGCCATGCGCGAGCAGGAGCTGGAGATGCTGCAGCGGGAGAAGGAGGCCGAGCACTTCAAGACGTGGGAGGAGCAGGAGGACAACTTCCACCTGCAGCAGGCCAAGCTGCGGTGCGGCCCCGCCCCCACGTCCCCCCAGCTTGCCCGCCCCAGGGCCTTTGCACTCACCGCCCGCCCGGCCTGGAGCCCGCCACCCTGCCTCTCCCTGCCGCCCTTCAGGTCCCCACCCGCAGCCTCCTGGGGAGCCCCTTTCCCACCCCCCTTCTGGCCCCCGCTGCGTATGCCCAGTGCTCTGTCCTTGCTTCCTTCACTGTGCCTGTCACTGAGGTGTCCCCGCCTCCCCTGTTGAGCTGGGTGCCGAGGGGGCGTCTGAATGCCACCCGCCCAGGCTCTGACCCTGCCCCTGCTCCCCGGCAGCTCCAAGATCCGCATCCGGGACGGGCGGGCCAAGCCCATCGACCTGCTGGCCAAGTACATCAGCGCCGAGGACGACGACCTGGCCGTGGAGATGCACGAGCCCTACACGTTCCTCAACGGGCTCACCGTGGCCGACATGGAGGACCTGCTGGAGGACATCCAGGTACCGCCCAGCCCCTGCCCGCGCCACTGCCCGCCTCCGGGAGAGGTCCTTACCGTGCTGCTCGCACCCCCGCCCAGGTGTACATGGAGCTCGAGCAAGGCAAGAACGTGGACTTCTGGCGGGACATGACCACCATCACGGAGGACGAGATCTCCAAGCTCCGCAAGCTGGAAGCCTCGGGCAAGGGGCCAGGTACCCAGGGCCAGCGCCATCCCAGCCGGGGACACCAAAAGCCGTCCCCCGGTGGTTCCCCAGGGCACACGTCTGGGTCTGCTGGAGCCACCCTGGCCCAAGGGTTCCATGGGGAGCCTCGGGCTTTGTGCAGGCCGCAGGGTCCCCAGCTGGGGCCTCCCTGGGAGCCACCAGGGGGCAGCACCGGGCTGCAGGAGCAGCCGCCTGTGGGTGGGCGCCTCTCCCGCCAGGATGAGGACTCAGGCGCAGTACCAAGCCCGTTGGCCTCATTTACTTGGTTTCTGGGCCACGCCTGGCTGCTCTGGGAGTGGCTCCCATGGGAGTGTTTTCTGGGTTTCAAGTATTTGCCCAGGCAGAGGTCTGTTCAGAGCAGCCCCCAGTACAGCCCTGAGACCCCAGCATTCTTTTCCCAAATAATGTCCTATTTGTCAGAAAGACTGGGCGCACATAGTCGCGAGGGGAACGGGCTCCAAAGCGGGCTTTCTTGTGCTGGGTGCTCTGGATGCGGCTGGGTTCTCCGGGGGGGGGCAGCCTCTCTGGCCCCAACCTACTCAGTGCCAGGAGTGCCACAGTCAGGACAACCACAGATGTCCCCAGACACCCTCCTGTGGTGGAGTCAGCCTGGGTGGGAACTGTGGTTCTAGCAGCTTATAACCAACCGCAGTCCGCAGTCCCCCCCACTGCACCCCACCCCGGGAAGCCACCGGCTTTGACAACGCCCAGTGCCCATGGGCCTCAGGCCCCGCTCACTGTGCTCTGTGCTTCCACTGCTCACACTCGGGCGGCAGCTGCCAGCCATGTGCAGCGGCGAGGGCGCACGACTGCCCGCCGTCCCCCGAGCCTCTGCAGATGTCCTGGGCCGCGCAAGCAGCGTGGGTGGCCGCGCCCTTCTTCTCGGGAGAAGGAGGAACGTCTCACACTGGGTTTTGTCTCTCTGGGTCCTCTTAGGCAGGGCGTGCCCTGTGCTCTGGGGACCGCATGCGGGAGATGCAGGCGTCCCCTCTGGTGGCAGCGGGGCTGGGTGTGGAGCTGATTGGGGGAGCACCATGGGGCCACGGAGAGTGGCAGCTGCGGGCATGGCTCTGGTTGCAAATCAAGGCCCCTGAACAGCTCGGCGTCCTACCCGGAGCCCTGCTGTCCCTTCATCACGTGGGCATAAGACACCTTCAGGGGGATTCATGGGAAGAGAAACGTGTGGCTAGTTGTCCTGGTGCTGGGAACAGTGTCTGACGCGCGACGCTGTGGCCTCGGCTGGGCATCATTGGTGGCCCGGGTCCACCACCCACCTGGCCCCCTGGCTGACTTTGGGGTGGCCAGACATGTCAGGGGTTCGCCCAGGCCCTGGGTCTCGCCTGTCCCCACTGGCTGGGCTTCCCGGCACTCCTGGGGGGAGCCCCTCTTCCTGGAACCACCACATCTCCGTTCTAACTGTCCAGAGCATGCAGTAGACAGTGGAAACAGATTCCCCTTTGCCCTCCCCTGCAGGCTCCCCATTACCACTCCCGGTGGATCCCCCCAGAGAGGGTCTCTGGGGAGATGCCTTCCCCCGCCTGGACTCCCCTCACTGCCCCCACCCTGGTGCTCCAGGAGTGCTCTCCTGGGGGCATGGGGTGGTGCCAAGACCTGACACCTGCTGTTTAAATGTGGCTTAGTGGCACCCAGCTGCCTCGGGAGCGGCCCCAGGGGGTGTCTGCTTAGGTCTCAGTTTTCACCCATAGTTCTGAGGAGGTGGCTTCACCTGGCAGGGTGCGGCCCCCTTGCTGTAGACTGTGGCTGGCTTGCCGGCCCCACAGGTCTGCCCTCAAGTCCAGGACTGGCCGCATGTCCTGGGTCTCTGGATGCTGAGTCCTTCCTGATCCCGTCTGGCCAGCTGTGACCCTCTGTCCAGTGGCAGGGGTTGGAGAAGCCAGCTTTCTAACAGGGAGCACCAGGTGGTTGTCCACCCTGGCATTCCTCAGCAGTTGTGTTCTGGGCCCTGTGGGCAACCACAGCCAGAGCCCAGCAAGGTCTCTGCCTTCCCCCGGGAGCCCCAAACCAGGCATCCAGGCCAGGGGGTGCGATCTGGTGGTCAGGAAGGCTGCCCAGGTGAAGGGACGCTCACCAAGGACCCGTGACAGGGGGCATCTCGGAGGCAACCTGGATGGGAGAAGATGTTGCTGGTGACGAGCGTGTGCCACGGCGCTGGGGCAGGGGCGGGCCTGGGTGTGTCTGAGCACAGCAGGCAGGCTGGAGCAGGCGGCACCGGCCCTGCCTTCAGGGGCCTCTCAGTGTGGAGGGGAGGACCATGGATGCAGCCCATGATGGAGGCTGGCACAGGGTCCCCTGTTTGTCCCTGGACAGCAGGACTCCCTGCGGCAGGGAGCACCCTCCGTGCGGGTCAGACTTACCCACAGAGGGGCTGAGAAATGCCTGCCTGGCCTCCCCCAGGGTCAGGGAGCCAGAGCCACCCTGGCCATCGTCCATGCCTGTCACCATCTCAATGTGTTAGGATTCAGCCAGGCTCAGGGGTGAGCCAGAGTCCAGGGAAGAGTAAGGGCCGTCGGGAGGCCAGAATTGGGGAAGGGGAATGAAGAGGGGAGAGAGCCTGGCCCCAGCCCAGTGCTGAACGGCCCCTTCCCACTGCAGGCGAGCGGCGAGAGGGGGTCAACGCCTCGGTCAGCTCTGACGTGCAGTCGGTCTTCAAGGGGAAGACGTACAGCCAGCTGCAGGTCATTTTCCAGGGCATTGAGGGCAAGATCCGTGCTGGGGGCCCCAACCTGGACATGGGCTACTGGGAGAGCCTGCTGCAGCAGCTCCGTGCCCACATGGCACGTGCCAGGTCAGTGCTGGGGCCTGGGCGGCTCGGGGGCCCTCCCAGGCCGGCGGGGCAGCCACTCCCAAGTAACCTCAGGGAGCTCCCCAGGCCAGCGCCCCCCCATCCAGGGTGGGCCTCCAGCAGCTGGGCCACCTTCCTTCCGGCCTTAAGGAGCGGCCGGCCTTGTTCCCGGGGTCAGCTGCATCACAGGAAGGCCCAAGGTCGCCTGTCCCTGCCTCCCGCTGCCTCCACCCTCTGTGTACAAATTCTCGGCATGCTTGGCTCCGCTGCGTGAACACAGTGCCCGTCTGCGCTAGCTGAGCTGACCGTGCGGTGGCCGCTGAGGTTATGGTCGACTACTGCACATCCTGTTCCAGGCAGCCTGGTGGCCAGGTCATGCCTGCACATAAACACTCTGTACAGGGACTTGTCCCTTGGCCGTGGGACAGTTTTCCAGCGTCTGTGACCCCAAGGCCCATTGTCCTTGTGGCCAAAACCTTGACCCTGGGCTTGCCATGCCTAGACAGGGCCCCAGCCTGTGCCATGGCCACTGGCTGCGCTCAGCCTGCTCCCGAAGGAGGGGCATGAGAAAGGCCCCGGGGGCAGGCAGTGCGCCCTGCCCAGGGCTAGCCTCACCAGCCGCCTGCGTTCCAGGCTCCGCGAGCGGCACCAGGACGTGCTGCGGCAGAAGCTGTACAAGCTGAAGCAGGAGCAGGGCGTGGAAAGCGAGCCGCTGTTCCCCATCCTCAAGCCGGAGCCACGCTCCCCCAGCCGCAGGTAGGCCGCCCGCCCCGCCTGGACCTCGGCAGGGCCACGGGCAGCGTCCTGCCAGCCCGGCCCGGCCCACAGCCCTCTCCCCTCGCAGCCCAGAGCCCGAGGAGCTGGCCCCGACCCCACCCGGGCCCTCCTCGGAGGGCGGCGCTGCCGAGCCAGAGGCGGAGGGAGCGGCGCCCACGGAGGGCGAGGCTGACGCCGACGGGGACGGGGAGGCCGTGCTCATGGAGGAGGACCTGATCCAGCAGAGCCTGGACGACTATGACGCGGGCAAGTACAGCCCCCGGCTGCTCACAGCCCACGAGCTGCCACTGGACGCCCACGTGCTGGAGCCCGAGGAGGACCTGCAACGCCTGCAGCTGTCGCGGCAGCAGCTCCAGGTCACAGGTGCGGTGGGGGCGGGGCTCACGGGTCCTCGCCCCGGTGGCTCTCCCCGGGGTTTGTGGCGCCCACATTCTACAACTTGCTTCCTTGTCTCTTCATTCCCACGCAGTGATCGGGGCCAGGGGCGTGGGCTTGCCCCCTGTGCCTGGCCCTGCTGAGCTCGTTGGGCCCCTCATTTGCAGCCTCCAAGGGTGGCCGTTCTGAGTACAGAACAATGGCCCCAGAAGGCCCCTGTCCAGGCCCACTGAGGGTCTCTAACCCCCAGGCTCTGTTGCCACTCAGCAGGGGACACGGTGCCCACACAGGGTGGTGGGCATAGATGAGCTGTGGCGGGGTGCAGGGAGGGCACAGTGGGGGCCGGGGCCTGCTCACCCCATGCACCTGGGCCACCACAAGCCTCTGGTGCCTTGTGTGAGGCACAGAGTGGTCACCTCTCCTGCAGGCGATGCCAGCGAGAGCGCAGAGGACATCTTCTTCCGGCGAGCCAAGGAGGGCATGGGCCAGAATGAGGCGCAGTTCAGCGTGGAGATGCCGCTGACGGGCAAGGCCTACCTGTGGGCGGACAAGTACCGGCCGCGCAAGCCGCGCTTCTTCAACCGCGTGCACACGGGCTTCGAGTGGAACAAGTACAACCAGACGCACTACGACTTCGACAACCCGCCGCCCAAGATCGTGCAGGGCTACAAGTTCAACATCTTCTACCCCGACCTCATCGACAAGCGCTCCACGCCCGAGTACTTCCTGGAGGCCTGCGCGGACAGCAAGGACTTCGCCACGCTGCGCTTCCACGCCGGGCCGCCCTACGAGGACATCGCCTTCAAGATCGTCAGCCGCGAGTGGGAGTACTCCCACCGCCACGGCTTCCGCTGCCAGTTCGCCAATGGCATCTTCCAGCTCTGGTTCCACTTCAAGCGCTACCGCTACAGGCGCTGATGGCCCAGCTCCTCCCGGACCGCCTGCCACCTGACAAACGAGGGACTGTGGGACTGTCGCCTGGTTCACGTCCACCTCAGGCTGGGCTTCCGGTCACCAACCGCCACTTTCCGCTGTGCCAACCAGGGTCACCGTGGAACCTGCCTCGGAGTGGTGAGGGGTGTACGGGACAGGCTGGCCAGATGACACACGGGAGGGGCCCAGGGAACTCGGCAAGAGTCACGATCTCCCTGTCCAGGTGGGTGGACCAGGGCCCAACCCCTGCAGTGCGGGCCTGAGAGCGCCAGGCCTGCAGGAGCGGGAACCCCGGGCCCTGGCCGGCAGCTGCAGACCCCCGCGCCCAGCCCGTTCCCAGGCCGGCCTTCCTGGGAGCTTGACATGTGTTGCTGTCCACGTTCCGGAAGAGACCCTCTGGGGACAGGCGAGCTCTGGTCCCCCCAGCTCACCCCCGGTGCTGGGTGTGGGGGCCCGTCATCAGCCCTCAGGCCCAGGAGCCCAGGGGCACTGAGACATCCTTCTGCGGCCACCAAACCAGGACAGCGGCGTCCCTCAGGCCCCTTCCCAGCCCCACCCTCGCCCCTGTATGCTGGGTGGGGAGAGCTGATAGGGGTACCTCGCCCATCACAGGCTGTCAGTCCTCTAGGCAGGCCATGTTTTTTTTAACAACTCGTATGGCAGCATTTCCAGCCCTCAGCCGGACCCAGCTCCTCACACAGCCCCACCCAGGCCCCGTTTCATCCGGACATGATTTTAAGTTGTTTCTCTAAAAAGACTTTTAGGTGGGCAGTAGAGAGATCTTGTTTATTTTCATTTAATGGATCTAAAACTTTGCATGAATTTTTAATAAACATTTTATTTTAGAATAATTTCAGATGTTTGGAAATGCAGACATTGCAGAGTGCCTGCACCCCACACCCACCTGTCCCTATCGCAGCGCCTTAAATCACGACAGCACGTCTATCACAGCTGATCTGCCAAACAACCCGGAAGACCTTTTAAAACAGCCACAACACGTGAATGGCCCCCATGGGTCCTCCAGAAGCTTCTTGCCCCCAGGCCTCCTGCACCTTTGCCCGAGCCCACTGGCCTTGCCCCCTGCAGGGAGGGCACCATCCTAAATGCTCCAGACTCAAACCTGGGTCCTGGGAGGTGAGTAGCTGCTCACCCTGGCCAGGGGATGTTGCTCGGCACCACCCAGAGACTTGTGGCAGCATGATGGTGTGCACCTGGCATTGAGTGGGTGGGGGCCAGGGTTAGTCACCCGGAGAATGACCTGACCCCAGTGTCCATAGTGCCACGGCTGACAGTCTCCCCAGGCCACTCGTTACGTCAGCGTGCCAGGAGCCTCTGGCACGGCACAGGCCTCCACTGGCCCCACCTGACACAGGCTCACACAGCAGTGGTCGTGTCCTAGACAGTGATGCCTGGGGACTTGGCGGGAAAGCGCCTCTGGTTGAGGGGCACCGTCTCCCTGCTGCAGACCCTGGCCCCCCCAGCCGGCCCGGGCCAGGATGAACACCAGTTAGGGCAGTGCACACGCCTCACCCATCCCTTTGAGAGCCCGTGACAGACCTCATTCACCGGGTGCTGATCGCCAGAGCAGGCTTAGCATCCTCCAGGCAGCTGCTGCCTGTTGATCCGTGGCCTGTATCGCTGTCACTGCAAATAGGACCATCCCCTGGCAGCAGGGTTGAGTCTAGGGCAGACCCAGGAGGGACTCGGCGCCTAGCTGGGTACCCAGTCATAAGATGAGCAGGCCCTGCACGGGCTGGCGGTGATGGCCGTAGCCTGGCCTATAACTGGCATTATCTGGACCTCACGCCCGCCCTACACAACAGCATTAATGCCCATTTGGGGAAACAGGCTCACAGAGGTCCACGTTTTCAAGCCTTGAAAGTGGCAGAGTTACATCCTGGGCTTCTCCAACCTGGAGAATCCCGCCTCCCAAGCCAGCAGCCTCGTCTCTCCACCTGCCCCCAGCGGAGTCCTTCCAGCCCCAGTGTCCCCGTTCCTCTTCCTCCTCATGTCCCCTCTGCATTCTGGGCAGAGTGTCAACCCCAAGGGAGGTGGCTGCACCCGGTGGGGGGGTACAAAGTGGCCATCCCCCTGCCTTGCAGGGATCCCCCAGTTTGGAGGGAGGAGAGCTGGGCTCAGATACCCCCAAGATGTCAGGCTGGGGTGGAGGGAGGCATTAGGCCTTGGGGCAGAAGAAGGGGTACCAGACGCTCCCTGGGAGGACGGCGCTGCTGAGCAGAGGGAAGGGTGGCAGGCACACCCAGGGCAGGGGCACTGGGCTGAACGCAGGCGTGGGAGCTGCAGCCTCCACGGGCACTGAGCAGCCATAGAGAGGGAGCAAGCAGGGCAGAGCCAGACGCTGGCATCAGGGAGACCCACCAGCACACCAGAGGCACTGCACCCATCCAGCTGCCCTGGACTACAGCCCTAAGACCCCCACCCGAGCCCAAGGTCTGTCCACCCAGTGTCCTTAAGCCACCCCCAACCCCCACCCCAGCCTTTTCCTGCCCAGGGCTGTATGTCCAAGGCTAAGAATAAACCCTCCCTGCTTGGCCCCTACCGGAAACCACAGCCACGGGGGGCACACCCTGAGCCTGGCCTCCCTTCCCACCATCTGGTCCCCTCAGGCCATCTCACCCCCTCCTGAGCCTCCCATGCACCCACTGACAAGGGGCCAGACCTCCAGCCACTAGCCCAGGAGGTGGTAGAAGCCCAGAGCTCATGTTCACATCCCACCGGGCGTCGTTTCCTCCTCTGATGCTGGCCCAGCGGTTTCCCAGAAGGGTCAGGGCAGGGGAAGCGGGACAGGAGCGGCCTCCCTCTGTCTCTCCCCCCCGCCCATCTGGAGCCCCAGCCCCACATCCTCTTCCTACCACATCTGCCGTCCTTGCGGCTCCCCAAAGCCTCCTGCTATCTTGTGCCTCCGAACTTTTGAACATGTGATTTCTGCCACTGCCATGCCTCTCAGACCTAGGGAACTCCTACTCACACCACAAAACCCCAGTTCTCACCCCTTCTCCGCCCCAGGTGCCTTTCTGACTCACTGTCTGGGCTCCCCTGACCCCTGTCACTTCTCCTGACTTCAGAGGGCCAGGACTGTCTGTGTCCAGCTTCTTGTCCAAGGAAGCAACCTGGGGAATCCTTGAGGGCAGGTGTGCTCTCCAACACTACCTGGGCTCACAGTTGTCCCATCCCATGGGCTGGGACAGAGTTGTAATTGAGGAGGGATTAACAAAGAGCAAGACTGCCTGGGAGATCAAGGCTTGACCAAAGAGCGGGCCTTGCCAGGGCTCTGCCAGATGCATAGGAGTTGGGGAGACTCCTTGCCAAGGAAGAGCAGTTGGGGTTAAACGCCTGTGGACTCAGACAATGGGATGGAGCGCGGGAGGGGCCATCTGGAGGGATGCCTGGTGTGAGCAAAGGCCTGCCGGCAGGAAGGATGGTGGGTGGGAAAGACAGAGAAGGGGCTTCCTGAAGGCAGGGCCACGGCCAGGGCAGGACTCCAGACCCCTTACTCAGAGCCTGCGCTGTGGGCCCCTCCCAGGCTCTGGAGAACAGGGTGGGGCCGAGTCAAGGCCAAGTCAGCTAGTCTTGGCTACTCTGGGCCCCACTGGGGCCGCGGGAAACCCAGGCTCACCCCTCCATGAGGCTCAAAGGCCGATACCCGACTGGTGGCCCCCTTTTCCGACCTGAGATGAGACCCGAGGACTGTGGGCAGGAAGAGCCTCTAAGAGATTCTTACTTTCCCACCACGAGGCACAGCCTCCAGCCCTGCCAGCCTGGTCCTCCTCTGCTTCCACAGCTTTGGGCTCAGAAGAGCCTTGCGGGAGCCCTGAGCGAGGCTGGGGGCTTTCAAGGACGCTCTGCCTGCCTGGGGAACCCTTTTGCCAAGCCTGCTTGCGGCAGCTCCCTGGCCTGGAGGCTGCATTATGGGGCCTGGGCGCCCTCCCACTGCACTGGGGCGGAGGAATGTGCGTCCCAAGCTCACTAGGGGTTTTCCCTCCTGTGGCCCCAGTGCCATCTGCAAGCCTTTGTCCTCACAGCACCCTCCCCGGGGTGCTGTCACCCACCGCCCTGCCAAGCTCACCTGCTCGCAGAAAGCTGGCCCGGCAGGCAGCCCGCCAAGCTTTTGGTTGGCGTGTGGTGGCCCCTCCCTCTAAAGCCCCCTGCACTCCCACCCAGCCCCAGCAGGGCTTCCAACAGACTCCGCATTGCTGAGGCACCGACTGTGCGCCAGGCCCGACCCTCGGGGTCACCAGCGCAGCCCTGGGCCCCCAGGCGGGCCAGTCCGCCCCGCCCCTCACTGCGCTGGGGGCCGCCCGGACGGTGAGTAATGCCGGGCCCACCCCATGGCAGGGGTGGGCGCGGCGGGGGACTCCGAAAGGGCGCTGCCGCCGCAGGCCACCCCGCCGCGGCCCCCGCGGCCAGGGGTCCCCCGGGCGCCCCTTCCACAGAGGCCGCGGCGTCTCCCAGGCGGGCGGGGTACGCCCGCTGACCCCCATCCGCCAGGCCTGGACCTGAGGGGCGTGGCCAGCGCAGGGGGAGGGGCTGATGAGAGAGACAGACGGAGAGACAGACGGAGAGACAGGGAGAGAGGAGGGCAGGGCGCGAGCTGCGGACTGGAATAGCCACTCTGGGCTATTTTTAGCCCCTGCGACCCCCCTCTCCAGGGCGGGAGGGCTCCTCGCCCCTCCTCCCGCCCGGGACCCCGCGCACCCGGGCGCCCTGCATCTGGGCCCCGCCGCGACGTGGCAGCGCCAAGGTCCTCTGTGTGGCGCGCTCCCGGCCGTGCCTCGGTTTCCCCAGGAGGCCGGGCCGCCCTGCTCCGCCCTGCTCCGCCCTCGTGCCCCCGGTGCCCTGCGCTTCAGCCTGCTCCCCGACAGCACGGCGACCCCGGCCCCTCCCATCCTTCCGCACAACATCCCCAGGTGAGGACGCCACCTGCGAGGTTAGGAGCAGGGCGTGAGGGGGCGCGGGGGCGCCGGGGTGTGTCCTGCAGCGCCCCGCCCTGCTGTGGGTGTGTCGCCCTGGGGCGCTGGCCGGGCCACAGCGAGGATGCGCTGGTCTGTGTGTCCCTGTGTCTGTGCGGGGCCGCTCGGAGTCCCGGCGCGGTGGCGGCGGGCGCGTGTGTGCGTGCGTCTGGATGGTTGCACATGCAGAGATGGGACTTGGCGCATGTATAATGCATGTGCATCGACAGCCGGCCACATGGCCTGGAGACGGTGGTCCTGTCCCCTCACCTCACACCTGCCCTCATTGCACAGCCCTCCTGGCAGCCCTGAGGGGTCAGGGCTGGAAGGACGCCCATTCAACAGATAAGGAAACTGAGGCTCCGACAGACCCCATGAGTCAGGGCCCAGGCTGGGCTGGAACCTAGTCAGGCAGACTGTGGGGCCCCGGCTTTGCTCTGGGGTGGGGGCCTGGTTGGTGTCACAAACAGGAGACGTTCCCGGAAATTGAGGCTTGCCGTGTGGTGAGGGGAAGTGGGGCGGGCCTGGAGACTGACAGCGTGTTGGGGGCGTCAGGGGGACAGGCAGGCGGGTGGGCATCTGCGGCCCTGTGAAGGCAGCTGGTCTGCATCAGGCACGGGCTGGGACTGACGCAGGGACTGGCCTTGTCCCCTCGGTTTCATGCCAAAGGGCG